GCGCGCGCGCACAAACTCGCACGCGCTCATTTCTTCTCATGCAAACTCAGTGGACTGTTGAGAAACTGCGATGTAAGGTCGAGTCTCGCCATAAATTATAAACCCCTCTTGAATTTCAATGAATAGAACTGGCTGGAAGACACTCCCCCCCCCCTTCTTTTCTTTCATTTAAAAAAAAAAAAAAAAAAAAACCTTCGCGTGGGCCAGCGGGTGCTGTCATTCGCTGTGGTGCTGAAGCTCGCGGTGCTGAAAGGACAGCTCCACGCGCGCGCCTACACAGGCCGCTCGCGCTCACTACCTGCCTCATTTTGAGTCGCGTTATTATTAAATTGAAGTGATGATAGGTCAGGGGAAAACTTATAGAGGGAAATGGAAAAACATGCCCCCAATGTTCTCTTATTTAGGCTCTGGCAGGAAATCGTTATATCTCTGTTATAATATCCCCACTGAAAGTTAAGATTATGAGGAGCCTATCACAATATCCTCACTGAAAAGCTATTTATAATTCAATCGCTTTATACTTGGTTATCCCTTTCTAAATAGTGGAGCTTAACTCAGACCATTATGTTCCCGTTTCCAGCCCACACTGTCTTTCTGTGCCTCGGGGTGGAATATGGCCTTTTTTGCTGAGAAGCCCTTATGTTTTGACAGAGACAATCCTTTCAGTAGACAAACAGAGATTTGGAACTGTTCCTTCTCGGGTGCGTCTGCCTTGCGTAGTCACGAAGAGAAGAGGCATACGAAGCAAGGCAACATGGAAGAATTCAAGCAGGACGAACGCCGCTGAGAAGAATGTGGCTCATCAGCTGAGAATATAGTTACAGGAAAAAGTGCAGTGCTGTGAATTTGTCAACTTCTTGTGAAGTTGCAGTCTAAGATGTGCTGGCAAATGCTCAGTTTTTGAATGACCAGTCAGAATATCAGATTTAAATCTCTTTTCGTCCAAAATGCATAGAATGGATAGGGGCTGACAGCTTGAATATGAGCCCAGCAACCAGACAGTATCTACTCAAAGCATGAGATATCTGAAAGACTAGAACTGAAATGCAGGTGTTGATAATAGAAAAGAGAAGTTATTCATTAAAAGTTCCCGTAATGCTTGTTGTTAATCCAGGGCCTAAAAGCATGTTTTCCGCTTACTCCAAATCTCCCGTGCACTGTAATGTAATGAGAAAACTGGGTTGACGTTTTATTGCCAGTGTAATGAACAGCTGGCAAGACAGTGGTGGAGTTATTTGCGCTAGTTTTTTTTACATTCCATTAAAAAAAAAAAACCTACAAACTCTTCAATCATCTTTCTCCTTGACCTGAGGCAGGATTATTTCTCTGTGATCTCAATGACGACCGGCAGAGGGCGACAGAGCATTCCTGCCAGTCACCGATCAGTGACGCCTTTCGTCACTAACCAATCATCTTTCAGAACACTTAGGGGGTGGGCGGCACCGAACTTGAGCAAAACCAAACATGGCGGCGACTGTAGATGATGATTTTGACGTTAACAATCAAGACTTCTACTCTCTGCTCAATGTCAGGAAAGAGGTATGGTATTTATTTTGTTTAACGGTGAATTCTGAGGCTAATGAACATTTAGTTGCGACCATTTTGCAGTTTATCATTGAGTAACTGGTCCACAGCCGGTACACCACCATCCAGTTTAATAACGTTCCTGAGTCAGGACCTCCATGGAGGAGACAGAGACCGGCTGATGCTAAAGGCAAATATATTTACAAGCAGACTATTTAATTATGTGCTTTACATAATGCGTTTGCATAAGCGAGGGAGTGTTGGTGGAAATCTTTGCTTGCTTTGATGAGCGTCTCAAATCTCAGTTTTCATTAAAGAATCCACACACAGCCCCATTGAAGTAGAGCTGAAATGATTAGACGATTAATATATCAACAAAGGGAATCTTTAAGCAACACATTTGATGATGGATTTTTTTTAATCATAAGTGGTAAAACAGACACTGAAGGAAGGAAAATAGTAATCCATTTAAAACAGAAGACTCTTTATGGCATTTTAAAATGTTAATAACTTTTGATAAATATTATTCATAGCTGCCCTGATCAAATGTGTCTTCTGTCCTTGTACCTGTCAGGCCACATTGGAGGAGCTGAAGGCCTCTTATCGGAGGCTGTGCATGCTCTATCATCCTGACAAACATCGAGACCCGGAACTGAAAAGACAAGCTGAACAACTTTTCAACCAGGTTCATCAGGCATATGAAGGTAAGGACTAGCAACGAACCGTACTTTAGGCTGGTACATAAGGATAAATTACAACCTGGAGCAAGAGAGAAAATATTATCTGACATTCATTCATTTATAGGTAATTTGCTGATATAATTACAAGCCAATCTAGTGCATCCCTGTGGATTCTCCACTTAGATTAAAGAATGTGTGACTACCAGGACAGCTGCATAAACTACTCTCTATTTTTCCTCTTTATCCCTCAGTACTGTGTGATGCTCATTCCAGAGCCATCTATGACCTCTTTGGGAAGAAAGGACTGGAGGTTGAAGGCTGGGAGGTGTGTTTTTTCCCCCTATGTCTTGAACCCTTTATACTTGTCAGATTTGAGTGGCTTCCTTATGGTATGACACGGTATCGTGTGCACTTTATGTTGGTGATGACACTCTTTAGGTGGTGGAGAGGAAGAGGACACCAGCAGAAATTCGAGAGGAGTATGAAAGACTACAGAGAGAAAGAGAAGAGAGGAGACTGCAGCAAAGAACAAACCCTAAGGTTTATCCAGACTATCCATCTTCACTGATAACACTATCTCCTCACATAGGACACCACCCATATGCAGATGTTGTTACAGTTTATAACACAACTAAGTTTTACTGTGGTTGGCTTCCACTTGTATTACATTCTACCGAAAAGATTATTGATCCTGTCAATCTTATTTTCAAACATCATTATCCAGGGCACCATCAGCGTCGGTGTGGATGCAACAGAGCTGTTTGACAGCTATGACGAGGACTTTGAAGAGATGCCAGGAGGAGGCTTTCCTCATATAGAAATCAACAAGATGCACATTTCCCAATCTATAGAGGTGCAAGGACACAAACACTCTTGTAATTTCTGTCCAACCTCATGCTGGCCAGGATCCCACGTTTGTAACATTTTCCATCATTCTCCAGGCACCTCTGACAAACACTGACACAGCAATGCTGTCCGGTTCACTGTCCACACACAACGGGAGTGGAGGCGGCAACATTAACATGACTATACGAAGAGTTATGTCTGCTAAAGGCTGGGGAGAGGTATATGCAATACATGTACTCATCTGCATCGTTAGGCATCTTATTTCTGTGAAGGAGGCAGAATAATCTCAATATTTTTATTAGTTTTTGAATAAATTTAGATGAAATACACTTTTTTAAGTTGTTCGCTGTTGTTTTGTGCCCAGTGTAAGCCTTCTAGATTTATTTCCCTGTTCTGATACATGCCTGCATTCAACTCTGCAGGTGGAATTTGGTGCAGGAGACATTCTGGGACCTCTCATTGGGTTAAAAGTGTTTCGCAACATTACTCCACGGTGGTAAGGCCCAGCTTTTTAAATAGCTGTCGTAACATAGGAACAGTGTTATCTTTCCTTAACAGCCTGGTTCTGTCATTTTTACTCCCAGCTTCCTTACAGCCCACTGCGGCTTGCAATTCTCTCCTCGAGGCTTGCGACCTAGCTGCTCTCTGATGACGGCACGCCACCTGGATCAGAACACCATGGGTTACCTTCAGTGGCGCTGGGGGCCCAACAGTGCCATGACAACAAGCCTGGTCCGAGACACAAAGAGCAGCCACTTCACTCTCGCCCTGCAGGTAATCATCTGCAGGTCTTTAGCACAGTAGTCAATCAAATACATTTGGAGCAACTGTAGGAAGCTATAATCTGTTATTTTTCATGAGCTGTTCTTTATTATCTATTTTCTAGCTTGGGGTGCCTCTCTCCTACGTGATGATGAGCTACCAGTACAAGTTCCAAGATGAAGATCAGACCAAAGTGAAGGGCTCTATCAAGTACGTCTCTTGTATGTCTTATGTTTGGGTAAAGGAAGGGAATATTTTATTGTCAAGCTAGTACACGTTTGCGAGTAGTAGGGAAATGAATTAAACGTTGTGCATATTACACGCTTGGTACTTACTAAAATTAGTTTTACATATTTATGAGACTGCCTCCGATCAAAAGTCAAAGAAATACATGAGGATAATCATTTTTGCCGCATTTATCTTGTTCTGAACTTGCTGCCCGGGCTATTTTGTCTTGTTAAGTGTCCATGCACATTACTGTTCTTTCCTTGACAGGAGTGGCTGGTTTGGCACTGTGGTGGAATATGGAGCAGAGAGAAAGATCAGCCGACACAGTGTTCTGTCAGCCACTGTCAGCATCGGTGTCCCTCAGGGAGTCACACTCAAGATCAAGTATGGGCCACACCAAATTCTGACCTCCGTCCTCTGCATATCCTCGTTTCACTGCATGCCAGTGCTAATGTTTTTGTGCAGGTTGGCCCGTTCCAGTCAAACGTACCTGTTTCCAGTCCACCTGACAGATCAGTTGCTGCCCAGTGCTGTCTTCTATGCCACTGTTGGACCTCTTCTGGTGTACATGGCCATCCACCGAATGATCATCATCCCATACACGCAAGCTCAGAAAGAGCAGTGAGTACCCCTCCTCTTTCTCAACCAGCATCTGTCTTTGGTGCTGGAAAGATTTTACAGTTGTCAAAAAAAATCACTGTTCAGACTTAATTTGATAGACATTGATCTTTCTTTACCCAGGATACCCAATATTCTTTTGATTGTTTTTTTTTTTTTTTAATTTCTTTCAAATATATCTGCACACCTGCTAAAAGCTGGATCAGAAACCATAAGCAGTCACATAAAGGCGACTCCACACTCCTGATTTGAGCAAACATTTCTGCTCTGGGTGTTGATGGGGATTCTTTCACAGTTATACTGTCATCGGAGGGAGCCTCCACAGTGAATTGCAGTGGGTGGTTGTTGATGTCTACTTTGTCTGTGTCCCCGCTTCTCAGAGAGCTGGAGCTGCAGAGGAAGAGCTCCGCCACAGACATCGCCAAAAAGAAGCAGGAGGCAGAATCTGCTGTGAGTACTCGCAAGCAAGAACGCAGTGATTCACTGTGTGTGAGGCATCATTGATCATTGTCTATAAGTTCTGCTCTCCTCATTATGAACTCATGACTGAATCTCAACAATCCTAGAATGTTTTGCTCTGCTCTGCCCCTCCTCCTCCCTTTTCTATCCCCCCTTGGCTCCTCTGCAGGTTTTGCTGATGCAGGAGTCTGTGAGGAGAATCATAGAAGCAGAAGAATCCAAAATGGGTGAGCCCCCCCCCCCCAAACACACACGCACACATTACGCCACTTTTTTTTTTCTTTTTTATTTACTTTCTCGTTGAAACTTGGTGAAAATTCAAGCTCCAATTGAAACACATGCATCTTTGCCTGTGTCAACGCTGGTAAATATTTTATGGCTTTGGGATCCTGTTTATCTGAATTCTTATTTCTGTCACATTGAAGCAAGTTATGATGGAGGTACTCAGCATTTTAGTGGGTTGAAAGTTTAAATGCACATTGACTTAAATCAACATTATGTTTTTAACACCCTTTTTGTTTGGTTTGCTAAAATTTTATGGTTGTTGTTAGTGTTCAAAGCACCCACTGATGCTCTGACTAAAGAGTCCCCACAGCCACACAAAACTGCTTATCATGCATCCATACCACAGCTTACTTTATAACCATAAAGTAAACTTCCTCAGGATTCTTTAAAATGTTTCAGGGCGCTCGTTGCAGTCTGAGCCTCATAATTCATGTCTAAATTGGGACCTGAGGTTTGAATTTCTGCATAATTGTGACTCATTATGGACATCTTTCATACTTTCTATGACAATATCAAAAATAATTTCAGTTTGATACATTTTATGAACACATATTATGAGATGTTATGAAAATAGAAAATAAAATCCACAAATCTAAGAATATTGGTCAATTATTTATTATTAGAATAATTCAGATTAAGTGAGAGATTTGAAGGTGAAATTATAATATTTTTAATCAGCAGATCATTTCTAACACACCCCATGTCAGTAAAGGATAGGCATAAAGGATGCTGTAAAACTGATTTTGAGACAGAAAAGGACTTTTTCCTGACTTTAGCGTAAAGTCAGAAAACACACTGTATCGCAGAATAGGAGAAAGTTGCAGATTAATTAAAAAGAGTCAACAAACACTGATTTAATGACATATTACTTTGCAGGTCTTATCATCCTGAACGCCTGGTATGGAAAGTTTGTGTCAGACACGAGCCAGAGGCAGGAGAAAGCCAAGGTGATTGATGTGACTGTGCCCCTGCAGTGCCTGGTCAAAGACTCCAAACTTATTCTCACCGAGGCTTCAAAGGTAAACCTGACCCAATGATACAGTGAGTTTCAGCAAATGTAAGTGGACATTCCATATAAACGTTGTCAGTTTTTTCTTTTTTTTTCTGCATGCAGGCAGGGTTGCCGGGCTTCTATGACCCCTGTGTAGGAGAAGAAAAGAGTTTAAAGTTACTGTATCAGTTCAGAGGTGTGATGCATCAAGTCATCTCTGCAGACGCTGAGGCACTACGGATACCCAAGCAATGTTAGTATTCTGCCACTTTCCCCCACACTCACAGAGCTGCAGACTAATTACAGCCATACTGAACGTTGCAGTCTGTGCCTGCACACACACTCAGATGTCCCTTTTTTTTTCTCCCCCAGCTCACAGAATTGAATCGGAGTCCTAGAAGGCGACTGCTGTCGGAGTACCAGAAGGCAAATGCAGATAAAACAGACTTTCTGTATTCAGACGACACCCAAGACTGGAAGGGACTCATCAAATATAAGTTTGTTTCTCTCCACTGGCCCTCCTCTGTCATGGTATTAGTGAATCTTTTTCACAAGTTTCTCCACTCTTTCATTTCCTGAAGGCCAGTTATCAGTCCCAGCAGAGTACAGGTGCCAGCTCTGAGTTTCCCCTCGCTGGCTCCACCCGACAGAGCTGCTCACATATCTGGCTGCTGCAGGAGATCAGACACTGGCCCAGAACATAGTTTTAGAAATGCGCTCCACAAAGGGATGGATTATTACTGTGGATGTGTTGTCGATCCCCCTCCGCGATGAGTTAAAAGTGTACTTTTCCTGAAATTTGTGACAGCAGGTGTATACATAGGAGCTGGAATTTCCCCCAATATCACTGTAGTCTTTTTCCTATATGTGGATCACTCTGCTAGTTTTGAGTAGAAACATAAGATAACATAAGATCAGAAATGTCTCCAGGATCACTATGCAGGACCATGTGTCAATATCTCTGGGGCTCCCCAGGGCAAAGGTTTTTCTTTCACAGGCAGAAAAGACAAAAGATTAGTTTTTTATTTAATGACATGTATGCTGCTCAGTGTGGTGCCAGTCAGATAGTGTTAAAGTGGTGCTCAAAACTTGCCTCTGTGAAGGTTGGGATATAAGAGGATTATACAAGCTGCAGAGGTTAAGTTACTATCCATCTAAGGAGAAAAAAGCTTGAATACACCATATAGATGTTTCGTATCCTATTCCAAAGGCAGGTTTGATTGATTTCAGTGTTGATCGATTGTTTCTGTGCAGTTGCAGCGAAAACAGAATTTTCAGTAACGATCTTTGATTAAATCAAGGTTGCAGTTTGTACTCGACTGGTGGGTTTCTGGCTAAAAGCCAGGGATAACTTGTAAATATTGGAATGGATTTTAAACTTTTTGAAGACCATTCTATGGTTGGAATGAATCTAAAAGAGGATGGATCTCTACAATTCACTTAGATTGGCTGCCTGGAAAAAACCTTTTTCATCATTTACAGGTATTTTTATTTGACATTAGAATGATTGGCAAGTTGCAAACCAGTCCAGTGCCATAGCTATTAAGACTCACTCAGAGGGTTTACTGCTATCTTTTAGTCTTAATTCACATATTAATTAACCTCTGCTATAACTGGTTACTCAGCAGAGTGCTGAGGCTGACAGATAAAATTCAATATCCAAGGGTGCACCTAAGTGTTGGTGCACCAAAGTCCCAAAGATTTTCATTTCAACTGCACAAACAGCTTTTAATTAAGCCCTTGTTTAATTAGATCTGTGTCAGTTAAATTGGTCTGTTGACAAATGAAGGTTGTAATAACAAAGAGCTCGTTACTCCTTAGGTTGACTTTATAAGTGACTTTGTAATTAACCCAAATTCATTTAAAGTCACTAGAATAGGGCATGAATTCAACTATTATATAGAAAGGTTATTTTACACTAAGTGTGCATTAACTTAAGAGAAATACTTGAGGGGAATTGTTATCAGAATGGTACAAAAGCCTCTGCACTGTATGCAATTACTGAAAGTTGTTGTGGGTAAAAAATTAAGCAGACTTTTATTTTTCTTGTATTTGTCCATTATTTGTTGTTTTACGTGTGCTGTTAAGTGTCTGGTCAGGTCAACCAGTGGCTCCTGCACTGGTGCCACCATGAGGCCAGCAGTGAGACTGCTCCAATGATGTTACATTCCAACCCACCATCAAAACCCTTCCATATTGTGTAAAAATTGTGTATGGCTGAAAAGGAGCCTGTTCCCTCCCGTTATATTAAATAAACATAGTGAATGAAAAACACCTGAAGGACTTGGTTGCAAGAGTTCATCCTCAGGAGATTTACAGATTATTAGTGAGTGGTTTTTCTCAAAAGAAACTGTTTTAAAATGGTAACTCTTTATTTACAATAGTTTACAATAGTTTCACAGAAACAGTTTGCACCACAGTACAGACAACGCTTTCTCATGGAGGGGATAGGACAACCCAGGATCAGGATAAACAAGCTGCATCACAATGAGCATTGTTAACATTAAGTATATTCATGTCTTTAAGACGTGTTCTAAAAGGAAGGTTTTGTGCCTGAAGATGATGATTCTGAGGCAATTTTGCCAAGAGAAGAAAAGTCCTTTTTTAGGCCCTCGTCTTAAAAACATCACAACCTTTTGTGATTGCTGGTATAAACTAGCCAACCAACATTTTCAAATACCAGAAGACAAGAGGGCACAGACTCCTTCCCTGGTCGACTCATTGATTCTGCAATTTCAACAATCCCATCCTGGAATAACATCTGAGGGTCTGCGTCAAAAATCTGTCGCTCTACAGTATGGCTTTTATATAATTAGAAACAATGTGTAGCCTACACAGACAGGCCAGCAGCAGATGGTACATGAATAACAGAGATTAAAATCTTTAATCCAAACTGGAGTAGGCTGACTGAAAATAAAAATGCCCTTAATTAAACATTTTTCCTTAAACTTGCTTCAAGAAGTGAATACTGTGAATACTTTGACAATGATGTGCTAAGGGATCAAGTTGGCCTTTAACCCTTTTGAGACCAAAAAAAAAAATATACGGAAGCAAAACCAAAAAAAAGGTCCTCTTTTTCCCCCTTTTAATTTGCAGATATCTGCTTCTCCTTCTTGCTGAAAAGTTGGGGAGACGACTCATAGCAGCACATGCATCACCAGCACACTCGTCCAACCAGACACACATGCATGTTTTCTTGAAAGAATCTTTTCTAACTCTACACCGGGAAGGTTTTTCTGTTAATACTTGAACAGGACGGCCCCAGAGTTCCCTTAATGCGTTTTCTTAAGATGCCGACATAAAACCAGCGACTATGGAAATATTATAAAGCTTTGTAACAAAATGATATTCATGAAAACCACTGTCCAATCCTGTCACAAAATGCTGCAAAATCAGATGAAAAACTGGACTTAAAACGCTTCTCTGGTTCTGGTCAATCGAGAAAACAACAACTGTTAAATTACAGTTTCATATATGTATCTATATGTAAAGTTTGGTGAACAATGAACACTTTTTAAACACTTGGAAACATAGCTTGTAAAAACTGTTTAGAATCAACCAACATGTTGATTTAAAGGAAGTCTGGAAGACAGCTTATGAAGTACGGGCAGGAGAGCAAGCACTTGGTTCAAATATTTTTTCACAATGTCTTAAATAAAAAAAAAAGAAAAATGATAAACGGATGAAGCAGATGCAGACACTAGTCTTTCATCCTACATCTTTGTTCTACTGGATTATACCCCATCTTACTATAGCACCATCTGAAGCAAACACAAGGCTTTACTTGTTTTAAATGGTTAATTGTGTTACATTTGAAGAGGAATCCTAGAAAAATTAAATCCAGTTTCATTAGAAAGACAAACGTGTCTATGTGACCAAAGTCAGATGGATTTAAAAAGAAATGAGAGAAAGTGAAACGGTCTTTCCCACAAATCCCAGCATGCACCATGGTGGGTGGCAGTTGTGAGGGCATTCTCTCAATATGGCAGTTCAAACGTTTCCAGTGTTCACGAGACACCCAGTTTTAACAGTAGCTGTTTGCTCCTATGTTAATGTCGTCTACAGACAGATATCCATTAAGTGATTGCCTTACGCACAGAGTCTGTAGAAAGCAGAGACAAACTCTAGTAAATCTAAAACAGCGCTCACACTGTTTTCAAATGGGACAAGGGCTGAGGGGTAGGTCCACCAAAGTGTTCATAGAAAATATGCGTTCATGACTGACCGGGAGGGACAGAGACTGAAGGGTGTGGGACCTGAATCTGAGGAAGGGTCAGCCCAGCAGGTCCAGGGTAATCAGGAGCGGATGGGTAAGGGTTCAATATTCCACTCGTGGTCAGTCCAAAAGATGTTTGCGTGAGCCGACGCGGGAGCGGTGGGAGCGACGGGCGTCGGCGGTTCCGTGTGTCTCTCTGCAGCTCTGGCACACGTACGTCTCCGGGACGTGGCTCTTGCGGATCTTGGCGCACGACAGGTGGATCCAGGTGTTGCACTTGTTGCACTCGATCATGGCTCGGCCCGCGAAAGGCTTCATACAGAAACAAGTCACCAGGTCCCAGGAGTCGTCGTCTGAAAAGATGGGAGACACCCAGTGTTAGCTTTGGTCAACCATGACACATTTGACACGTTTGCCTCTGTACCACTGCAGGAGCTTACCCGAGTCGACCATTATGTCCTCGTCCTCTCCCGACCCGTCCTCGTCTCTGAACACCACCTGTTTGCCCTGTCGGAACACGGTTCGATTTCCTGAGAAGCCCTCCACTTTCTGTACCTTAACCACCCCTTCTTCAAGGTCTCGACCGTCCCAGTGTCGACGCTCTTCGCTGGGCTCCTCCTTGCAGGTGGGCAGGCACTGGGGGTGAAGGGGGATGCTGAGATCGTCTTCAGGCTCCTCTTTGATCATTCTGCCACCAAAGGAAAGTGGCGACTCCAGCTGCGAGGCTGCCGAGCGGGCCTCCTGTGCCCTGCTTTCATCACCAGACTGAAGCTCCCGTTCCTTTCTCCTCTTTTTCTTCTTCATCTTGTCAGCTTTCCTGTGGTCATCTGGGTGCAGGCTGGCGATGGAGTGCTGCAGAGAAAAAAACTGTTTGGTTATACGTGAAACTGACTTGATTGACACCTGTGAACAGGCCAGGCTCAGGATGTGTGCTCAGTCCGGCTTACGTCTCTTCTGGTGTGGCTGGACAGCGTGGACCCTGGCTGAGGACGCTTCCTGTTTCTGTCCTGGGGGAGCTTTGTAGGACGCTGGGGGCAGGAGGAAGGGGGTACTGGGGCCCAGCCATCGCTGTCAGCGGTGCTGCCTGTGCTGTTGGGGGGGCTCGAGCTACTGCGCAATGGAGAGTCCTTTAAAATAAAAAAGAAATTAAATAAATGGGGGTGTGAATTTAAGTGACAGATTAAAAAAAAAGAAATTAAATCAGAAGACAAAACTGGTGAACAACATATTAAAAATGTTTATGGCGAACATTTGTCTGTTCAACAATAAGATGACCAATGTTAGGAAAACATTTATGTAGCATGGTGATATTTTAAAAATAAAAACTTGAAAAGAAAGGAGGTAAGTCAGCCTCTAGTCAAATCCCTGATGCAAATGGAGGAAATATGAACAAAACCTGTCAGCAGTTAGCTCTGAAAAACAAACTGAGCTTATAGAGAGGGTTGCCACACGTTTGCTTTTGGATTAAAAGGGAATTACATTAAAAGCAAGTAAATGAGGGACATCCCTGCCACCTGGAGAGTCTGTGTGTCAAAACAGAAGATCCAGTGATGTAAAAGCAGCATCTCTTCATGACAGCTATAGGACGGGGGTTGATGTTTTGAGAAGTGGAACACAATGCTTCTTAAAACAACTTTTTTTCCCTAAAACGTATGTTTTCAACAACGTCAATTTTGCATAAATATGTTATAAGCAGGAACATGGATGTGAATGAATAAACAGTTTGATCGGGGCTACTTGCCATAGAATAGAGGATTCAGTTAAGCAGGTGACAAACAGCAGTGTACTGTAGGTTGAGATGGCTCTAAATGGCAGTCAGAAAAAACAGCAAACTTGACAGGAGGTAGTGCAGCCGTGCATTAAATCAGTAACAACCCAAGTTCTTAGCACATAGTTTCCAAAAGTACAAAACATGTGGATCCTGACAAACTACAGAGATAAAAAAAAAAAAAAACTGATAAGGATAACTCTTTGTCTGACCACATCCCACTCTGTTCCCAAAGATTCAATCACAGTTCAAGTCTCAAATCCATTTATACTTCAATCACCACAGCCTGAGAACAGAAAACACATTTACCTTTTACACACAAATCCAACTTTTTCAATAGCCCCTTGACTTTAACCAACAACTTAATATCAAATCAATATACATGAGAATCGCTCACTGCATCAATGTGTGACAAATTAATAAAATATATTAAATAATTTCACACAGGGGGTCAACTAATATGGGACATAGTTTTAATTTAAAATCTCAAACAATTTGCCAGAAATACAACAATCAGACTCCAATAAAATCTTTATTTATATAAGCACGACGTGTAGTTGATAAAACCATTTCAAAAGCTCCAGGTACACCCCTAAACCGTGGTGCCCCAGTGTGTGAAGAAGTGTGTGCATCTCCAGCTTTACTTACCTCTTGCGGGTATGGGATGTAACCGGCATAGGCCAAAACAAAGGTGCAAAACTTGTTGAAATCCTCGACGGTCCTCCTCTTTCTGTACGGCGAACTGAAGCCCTGAAAACACATTCAGATCGCTTAAAACCGACATCAAACCTGCGCACCTCGACATGGCGAAGACATTAACGAGAGCTGACCGCCACACACCCACACTCAGCTGGCTCCGTGCCACGTAACAAGATTCAACAGAAATGTCATACAAAACGTTGTCAAACACAAACAAAAGTTGGCTTGACTAAATAACACTTTCTCCTCTAGTCTTGTAAGTGAACCCCTCGCACCAACCCCCCACCAATGAAGCCAATTACAAACGACAGCTAGTGCTAGCCGAGTCGGCTAGTGGTAACTGCATGTAAGTAACAAGCTAATGCTAAGGGGTTGGTACCAGAACAGATTTAATACTAGAGAAAACAATGGAGCCATACATTCAAGACTTTAAACAATTCGACTGATTTACATAAACGCCATTGATACCCGACTGTAAACTGACGATGGAGGCAGTGTGTGTGAACATGATAATTAGCCAGCATACATGTTAGCATGCTTTGCTACAATGATGGAATGTGATCTTTTCGATGAAACTCGAGGCTAGCGAGCGTTAACATTTCACAAAGTACAACCTGAAGTAACGTCAATGACAAACTCTGAAATACGACGTCAACTTTTAGTAGTGCAAAGAGCATTTGATTGTAAACACTAAGGCATGTTCAGCAAGTGTGATTGATTCATTTTTTTAATATATAAGTGAACATTGTGTAAACATTAGCAGGCTAGCAGCTGCTACACCGTGCGATGACACACATCGATCAAGTTGACGTCTGCTAGTATGGCTAGCCATGACAGCAAACTGGGCATTGTAAAGTGCTTACATAAATAAAAAAAACTCACCTCTGGCTGAAAGGCATGAGATGTCGATGGGTTTATGTCACCCATCGTTACGGAGTGTCCGACAACCTGACGTACCGTCGATACTCCGAGAGGCTACCAACGCGGGCTACTCGATGAGACCGTCAACACTGAGCTTCTTTTAGCTTTTGCTCGCAAGAAAACAACCACTAACGTCCAAACTCGAAGCAACAGTGTTGCCTCAGTTTGCCACCACAAGCCCCGCTTTCACTACCGACAGTCAGCTAGAAAACTTGTAAAGGCTGACAGAACGTGAGCGGTCGTTACTGTCCTGTTTCCATCGTGCAACGTCTCCGTTTGATCCAGTTTACTAACTGACGGCTCACTTCAGGCGATGTACTTCGCCTGTCACTTGCTGTTGCCCCCCCCTTCTCCTTTCCCTCTTCTTCATATCCAGTGTTTCCCTTTCAGGGAAGGGCGAATGTATTACTGCCCTCTTTTGGACTGTGGATTAAATTGACTAAAACCTGTGAGGCTGCAGCATTCTAAATCGCTGTGTAATTTGTATAGTTCTAAAATGATGTTATTTATGTTGATTCCGATTAAACATGTGTGCATATTGACACTTAAACTTATTGTGTCCAACGAGAGCTGAGTTCGACTGACCTCGTGTTTCTAATTTCACAGCATTGTTTAAGGTAATAGGATCCAGAAGATACAACCTGAAACAGCTTTTGACAAAATGAGAAAAATCGGACAGTTTGAGAAATGCAACTGAGACTTTAAAAAATCGATGTTAATTTATTTTATTTAGTTGTCAACATTTTGAAAATATGACATTTGATGTTTTTTCTTGTCAAGTTGATTCAGGAGACATTTTTCTCGCATTAAAATAAAATTGAACAAAATCCACAGAAGAAGAATTTCTTCCTCGGGAAAATGCTCTGTCAACTTCCGGTTACTATTGTTTTGGATCAACACGCGTGGCTTTTGACTGTTGACGAGGAGGTCAACATAATAGTTTTGGTTTACGTTAACTTCTCGAAATGGCAAGTGCTAGACTTCAATCTTTCCGGAGCTTCTTAACTGAACACTTTAGCACATTAGCTGTGGAGATATTTGGTGAAGTGGAGGGTTTGGTTGAAGCGTTTTACGAAGAAAACAAGCAGCTGAGGAACGTACTGCGCATGGTGCTCAACCCCGAGTTAAAGTTATCCAGGATAGGTTTGTCGATTCGAACTTTTGTCCTTTCTGATCTTGATTCCTTTGGTATTTATGAATAAAATTGGTTTCAGTCCCACAAGCTCCAGATCAAGATAGATGTAGGTAGAAATGGATAAGTAATATAATCTATTGTACATTTGTGACAATTCTGTGCCTCTTACAGGCTAGTGTCTTTGTCCTGGCTAGTAGAGTTGTAAATGCTTTTGCCAGGTGTTTCATAGCCTGTCTGTTGTCATAAAATATGTAACACTAACTGCCCTTAAAAACAAATACAATAGTTAACAGGTCTTATGTACTCTTTCTTCCAAAATTCTCAATTTACTTGTGAGAACAGTAACTACAGGCTTAGTGGCAATACTCTGTCTTTGCCCAAAGTAAGATTAGATGTGCATTTTCTTTTTTCCAATCATAGATATTACGCCGTGCACTGGAACCACCACAAATGTAAGAGAGCAGCCTGTGGAGCCAAACAGCAGGCCAGCCAGTGGAATATCAGATCCTCTTACTACGCAACCCAAAGACGAGGAGATTGAATGCAACATTAGCTGGGATTTGGAACAACAACAATGTCGAAGGGAACTCAACAATATTAACACACAAGATGTTGTGAAAAAAGATCCAGAAGAGGAACAATCAAACCAGCCCTCCACCACTGACTTGTGTTCTGTGGAAGAGGACAAACCAAACTCCCCAACCTCTGTGTCAGCTGCAGCTTTCTCAAAGGAATCAGAAGAATATGAAGCTTACTCACCACTGTTTGAGAGCAGGGTAACCACAAGCAGCAGCACGAAACCTCAGAAAGATCACAAAACCTCAAATACTAAAGTAAGTGTTAAATTATGCTCTTTAATCAATTGACTGTGTCCAAGGAGCTCAATTTAAACCACATTTCTCCAAAGTGCATGTCTGCAGATTTTGGTTTGCATAGCTCAGACGAGATCATTTGTGAGGAAGTAGCAGATTAAGGTTTCTTTAGTGACTCCTCAACTTGTTTGTGCATCAGGGCTGTGTGTACTGGAAGGGGTCATTTAGATTACAGAGGATTCTGTAATCCGTTCATGTTATGTTTCAAACACTTTAGTGGGTTTGTCATCTTTTATAAAAATAAAATCAATGATGAATTTACATTTTAAGAAAGGGTAGTTTTTACTACCTGTTTTGCTGCCAGACCTCTGTCACTACAATAATGATGTCCTTTTAGTTTGAATATTTTTAGTCAGTCATAATGTTTTTTTATTGTATTGATAATTTAACTATGTGAACCGCAAAGAACAGGTCCCAAATGCATTACTTGCATTTCAGACTTTCACTGTTAAGAATAATAATGATGCTGACTTTTTTGTGTTTTTTGTTTTGTTTGCCGGACATCTAATTTCCACATAAAAGATTCCAAAGTTCTCCAGTCAGAAAACCATACTGCTGACACCCAGGTAGGGATGCTGTCTTGTTTGTCCCGGACACTGATGTAATTGTTTTGTCCCTTAGATAACATTGTAACCTTTCATACAGGATATTACCTCCCTCAGTGGCTGCCCCATCGGACACCCTGACATTTTTATCAAAGCTTCATGAAGCCTTTAAAGATTATCTCGAGGAGGAGAAGCCTCTGATTACTAAAATGGGGCTTACATCAAATATGGAATGGGTGGATGGTGCCATTGGCCAGGTCCAGAAAGGTGACCCCCCCTCCCACCGGCCTCCTGCACCATTGCTGAAGGACTACAAGCCGAATGACAATTCTGCTCGCCGACCACCGCTTCCCTTGTGTCATCACGTGCTGCAGCCGGTGTCTGGCCCTCCTACGCTCAGTGCTCGGGAGCAGGCACATTTAAATGGCCTGAATGTCACATGGGAAGAAGCGCACCAGCTCGAGCACTCCACCCGCGGATGCACGGAATCTGCCCAGAAGCTGCGGGGGATGCGCCTGACCGGCCGTTTCCGGAAGATCTGTAAGCTGAAAGCAGGGAGGAGCCACGCGGAGCAGATGGTATTCAAGATTAAGAAAGATAGTCCGCCTCGCAAGAACACACAGGTGGAAAAGGAAATGAAGCCCGAAGCTATTCGGGAGTATTGCCGGCATCTGTGTGTCAACTGGTCCCCCTGTGGGCTGGTAGTCCATCCCAATGCTCCGTGGCTGGCGGCCATGCCTGACGGGCTGGTGTACGACCCCGAAGAGAAGAGCAGCTTTGGGCTGCTGCACACCAAAAGTGTCCCTTTCCACAACTTGACTGAATGTAGGTTTTTGATCTGCAGTGATGGAGTCTTGCAGCTGAAGAGAAGCCACCCGGACCACTGGCACATCCAGGCCCAGCTGATGGTGACCGGCGCGTCCTGGTGCGACCTGCTGGTGCACTCCAGAGAACGCATGCTGGTCCAACGCATCTACCGCGATAAAGTCATCATCAGGGTCATGAAGAAGAAGTTGGAGGAGTTTTTCTTCTACTACTACCTGCCAAGTTTAGTTTAGTTACATCACAGCACGGCGGCCATACAGCAGATGTGACAGGGATCATTAGTCAAACCACTACAGGGCCATGCAAGGACTTTTTTCCAATTAATAATGCTTACTGGTGAATTAGCATTTCTGATTTGGCCCAAATATCAGTAAGTTTTTCACTTTGCTGACGAACAGCAGAAATAAAAGCGTTTTATGATGTTTTTAGTGCATTTAAGGCTCTGAATTACCACAGAGGCCCAGTTCAACGTGGATGTGTGAAAAACTGTTTTGCTTGATCTCCCCTACCAAGTGTACTTTCTAGAAAACAATTGTAAATGTTTTTTTTATTTGTATGTATATTTTAGAATGTATACTTTCCTCACAGTGGGATCAATAAAGTTTTCTATTATATTCTCTTAACAACCACAGTTGCACTTTGTTAAAGCTTTCACATATGCTTTGTAGTGAAGGTTGTAAGGAGGTATAGTTTCAACCTCCCAGGCATCCATTCAAACATGAAACTTAAAAAAAAACATCTGTTCATGTTTGTATGCAAAACAGCTAAATGATGAAGGAGATAAGATACAAATAAAACCCCATGAGGGGTCCTCTTCTTTAGAGCGGTAGTGCTGTTTTAACAAAGTAAAACACTGGGCTTTGCAAACCAACAGATCCATATCGGTGGTCATGTCAGAATTGTGTTTCTTTAAAAACAATCTGAAACACGAGTGTTTTTCTCTGTGGTGTTTATTTTACTCTCAGGTTAACAAGCAATGCATGCATACACACATACACATATATATTTGTAGTGATAAAATACTGGTCTATTTATGTATATTTATGTCTCTTTGAATCTGAGCATTTACATACTTTTTCTCAGCACAGTCCATGGAAAATTCCCTGTTTTGTCTGATAAATGACATTTCACTGTCCAAAACAATCAGTTGGTCTCGTGATGCGAGCACGGGTCAGCGGTGACCAGCAGCTTTTTTTCTGGCCCGGCAGGGGGCGCTGTGTCCGCTCAGCAGAAGCGTGAGCAGCTCTCCTTGGTTAATGCCCGGTGACGTAGGCAGTTTATTTTGCTGCTGAACGAAGGGGGAAAAAAAACAAAACAAGTACTTGTCTTTAAAAGCGCTTTGTCATGTTTCGGCTGAACTTTGTGTGTGACAGCACTCATTAGTCAGCAGGACTCTCTCGTTCAGCCACGCGTGGCTCTCCGCGTGAGTGTGTGTTCAGAGTGACCGGATGCAGATGTTTTGACATAACCAGCTCTCGGCTAACAGAAAAACGCTCAGCTCACCCCGCAGCCCGGCCCGTGTCTTCCCCTCGGCTTTGCACCGTTAGTGTTTTTGGCACCATGGCGATCAATAAAACCTACGTTAGTGTCGCCTACGCTTCGTTCGGCATGCTCATGGGCTTCTCCGCGTTCCTGGTGTGGAACGCCGTGTACAGACAGCCGTGGACGGGAGCCATGGGAGGTCTCTCAGGTAAACACCGTCCGTCTTTCTGCTGAAACAGAGAACGAGAGGCATTCACATTTTTCTTATTTTTTAAAACCAGAGCTGTACCCCAACTTTATAATTTTTCACAAATTGGCTGAAAAACGAGCCAACACTTCCAAAGAGGTCACAGTTCAAACTTCGTGAAGGACAAGGGGGTCAGCTGATCCACCAAAACAACCCTAAAAACAGAGCAAAAATTAATAGAATTGGTCCAGTTAGCTATCTTGAATCCACCTTTAGAATAGTAAAAAAATAAAGAAAATATTAATATCCCTTTAGGTAATGTTGAAGCGAGTTACAGATGTGTGTTAAAAGGTGTTAAGAAACAAGTTTGACGTAAAAACATTAATCATTTCCTCTTTAAGAGAAGCTGAATGAGCTCCTTTTTTAAACTCTAAAATCGTTTTAATGGTGTCTCCTCTCCTCTCCTGTTTGTTGTAATCACTTTCACAGCTGGAATACAAACCAGTTTCTAAGGAAAAACAGGGTTTTGGCAGATCTGGAAAAATAAAGTTTCACACTCACATGTACTAATGTAATCTTGCATTCTGATTTATAAAGTTAGACATTTAAGTTTTCTGAAACAATAGAAATTTTTAAGTTAATTAATCTTAGACGGCTCTGCCAAGTATTAGATCTCTTGGAATTTGACCTTTGGGACACAGCTGATGTTTTCAAGTCCATATCTGCAACCTCTGCACTCATCTACCGCCAAAGATCTTACTGTTCACCTATAAAGGCTTTTCTCCAGATAAACTATCACTCAGCAGTACTTAGTACTGTATTTTCTCCCTTTTAAAATTGGCATAAGTGACACAATCACTTGTAAATTGTAACCTATCTTTGGCTTTAGAAGGTAAAAACCAAATAGGTGATGCACTCTGAACACTTGGTCCTATTGAAGCTGAGTTGGAGGCAGAAGTGTGATTTACTGACTCAGCAGTAGGAAACATGCTGCGTCAGTCCACAGCTTTACTGCACATTCACTGTCACACCATCAGAAGTTCATGACCAGCACCAATTCTGTCCAACTTCTCTTGGTTACAGTGTGCTGTAAACACGGCCTTTACATGCTGCTGCTTAACATAGTTACTTATTGTCCAGATTTACTTTTACTACGATAGGCTTTGATATTCAGGGTTTAATGCCCATTTGGGCATGTCTTTGTGCATCTTGCCAAAAAACAAAAAAAGGCCCCACTTTGTCCCCCTTTTTTTTCAATTGAGCATGGAACCTGCACATTTTCACTTTGGCCCAAGACGGAGCAGTTATCAGATTTTGAGTTTTCATGTAAGTTAAGGTAATGCAATATTCATGACAGAGTAAAGAAATATTGATTGATTCTTGGGGTGCTTTTGAATATGCTAACCTTTGCCACCTTGCATTTAAAAGGACCCTCCCGTCCTTTTAAATGCGCCCTGATGAGTGAGCTTTAAAGAGGCTTAATGAGCCAAGTCCTTGCTGTCCCTCAGGCAGAGGTCTCCCATCAGGTGTCCTGACCTGTAAAAGCTGTGCTCCCACATTCAGAGACTTGTTAAGCTGAGACAGAGCCACCAAAGCTAGCTCCTTCTGCTGTTTGGTCTTTTCTGTCCTCATGCCTCTTCCTCCCCTGTGTGACATCCGTGCAGGGAGGAGTTAAAGATTTGAGGAAATGATACGAGTGAGGAAAGCTATGAGTAAGGTTAATACAGTTACAAGCAAGCTTGTTTTACTCTCCATCATTGTTTCCACGTCATTTTCCTTTTGTTTGTTGTTTGATTTTAATAGTCTTTTTAGGTCTGTGTGGATGATGCTAACCCCAGTTTTCTGTGTTTGTCACAGCGTTTAGGACTGACCCAGTCTTTGCCTCTTCTCTCAGGTGTGCTGGCGCTGTGGACCCTGATCACTCACATCATGTACCTGCAGGACTACTGGAGGACGTGGCTGAAGGGCCTCAAGTTCTTCCTCTTCATCGGGGTTTTCTTCTCTGTGCTGGCAGTCGTAGCTTTCATCACTTTCCTTTCCATTGCCATCAGCAGAAAGGAGTGTAAGCAGCTCCACGCCTCTCTCCATTATCACAAAATCTGTTCTTTCTCTTCTAATTTCAGGTGTTCAATTTAAGATTAAGCCAACAGATTTGATAGTTATTATTAGTTATTCATTTGATTGTAAATGCATTTCTGGTTTTGAGCAAACATGTAGGCAAGTCCTCTTCGCATTTTTTCAGTTTGGGGGTATTTAAGGCCACTGTGTTGTTATTAAGGATTAACATTCTTAAAACAGTTTTTAGTCGCAGCAAAACTTTATGATTTTGGTAGAAGCTTCAGAAAAGCTTTAAAGGGCGAAGTAAAACAGCAGTAGTAGCAAGGTGATACACATGTGCAACAAACGGACTTCTTAGAAGTACCTTCAAATGTTTTGCCTCTTTTTGCTGCTTCTTCAGCTAGTCTCAGCTGTTGTGTCTAGACAGCCAGGCTTCCTCTGCAGAATGATGCATATTTTTGCCGTTGCATGAATACCACGAGTGTGCCTTTTATAGCTCTGAGTGCTTGTGTGTGCCTCCTCCTGCTGCAGCACTGACGGACCCCCGGAGTCTCTACCTCTCCTGCGTCTGGAGCTTCATGAGCCTGAAGTGGTCCTTCCTGCTGGCCCTGTCGGCTCATCGCTACAGGAAAGAGTTCGCCGACATCAGCATCCTCAGTGACTTCTAAACTCCCACAGTTGCTGCTCAGAGACTCTGAAGTGCACTCGCTCTGCTAGCTTCTCAGTCCGAGTCTGTGCTGAAGATTCACAAACAAGCTTTGTTTAGAGATGTGTGCCATTACCCTGGTTACACCTGAGCCTACCATGCAACTAATGATTTGCCCTCTTTTAAATGAACCTTTATCGAATGATTTTTCTTCTGTTTTGGCTTTTCCTCCATCTTTAACTCCTTGTGACAAAATCCTTTTTTTTGCACAGTTCTGTGCTAATAATAGTAATAAAATGAATAATAATGATCAGCTGCAGTTCCACGCTGCAGCCACTAGAGGACCCCCCGCCTCCAGCTATAAGGGCACCGTACAGCCCTCGGTGCACATCTAAATGGCACAAGTATGTGTTGCAGTGATCAGATGGGGAAACATACATACCACAAAGCATCAGTACCTAACAGATACAACAATCTAAAATGGATTCACAACCCAGCCCAGTGTGAAGGACTTCCACAGAGCAGGTCAACTAAGAAATTGTCAGACATCAACATGAAGCGTTTCTTGTGCAGCTGCGGATAAGCAGCACATGTCCCAGTTTCCTGTAACTCTGTGTGGGCAATTTTTTAATGTACAGAACAGTTTTTGTAGTATTTTTTTTATCTGTGACAAAAGAAAATGTTACCTGAGTTATGTGCTCATATGCATGCTGCAATATTTGTGCTGTCTTATGTTATATTCTCTACATCAAACCCACCTTTGAACAAATATATTCCTGTTATGTGAGATTATTTTTCTGTCTTTCCTCAAAGATTCTGTCTTCATAATTGTTCTCACACTACTGTGTTAGTGATGAAGTACTATGGCATTGTGTATCCACGTTTATCACTTGGCTGAATGTAGCAGGATGTGTTTGTAACAGAATGAGTCTGAGGATGGTGTGAGTAAAACGCATTTTTGACATCTACAGAACATTGTTTTTTTGCAATGTTATTTTATTTATTTATTTGCTGTGTCAATCATGTCAGTGATCGACAGCTCTTCCTCTTTTTTTATTTTATTTTTTACAGTTTCTGTTCCTCCAAGAAATTCAGTTAGCTATTTCTCTTTTTCAAAATGATGATGATTTTCCTCATGAGGGATGTGAGAATGTGTTATGGCAGATGGAAGGTGCTACTCATTATTGTCCTCGCTGTGATTTTGTCAGGGGTCAGTGTTGTGGGCATTAGGGGGAGAATATGCATCATGAGAGAGGTAAACCACCTTTCCCACAAAATCAAACCACATATATGTATGAAAAATACCCCACCGCATTGCAGTTGCTCCAGTAAATGTGAGCCAATAACCTGCACTTTGAAGTAAAGCAATTATTCCATCCATCCACGTTTTCATCCTGTCCCTCATAGGAAAGTCGGGGGGCGGGTGCACCGTGTTTTTGGTGCCTGATTTTGTTAAGGCAGTCGCCTTATAGAGGAACTTTGAAGTTGATGTGAAAAATGTGTGACTGAGTTATTACAGCGCTATCACTGTTTGGTGCGCCTAAACCCATAAAATGATCTGTTTTTACAACAATATCTGGAGGTGGGGGGGGTGAATGCCACTAAAAATCCATCCTGGATAGGAAAATCAACCCGGCGCAATTAATATTTACAAGACTTATCACTAACTTTGATCCTTGAAAGGCCACTATTGTTATTTCACGTTGATGGTTGCTTTCCTTCATCCTTCCCTTTTACAGAGCATTTTTGCAGTGCTTATATCTTAATTGCATTATACTGGTTTGTTTGTAAGCCCCCAGATTCCTGTTGCATCAATATAATTGAAATGATGTGGTTAAATCTCCATGGAAACTTGTTTTTTTAAACTGGCTGTTGTAAACTGCAACATTAAGGAACTGAAAAACAATCTGCTTCACTTTCCACTGAGCAAGCTGGGGGCTTTGGAACCAAATGCATCCTATTAAGTTTATACACCAGCCTGTAAAATGTCTGTGTGCGTGTAGTATGTAAAGAGAGGGGAGGGGTCTTATTTTATTCAATTATAGGACTCCTTTCTACTGAAATCAAGGAAGGAAGTTGTCTTGACTGGCAGTCTGGCTGACTGTGGTGAGACTGGAAACAATAGTTTACATTCAAATAACCCAAAATATCCCAAACATCCTGCACAATTACATACCGTAGGGCAGCAACACATTAATCAAAATCTGCGGCAATAACACGAAAGTTGTTCCTTTGAACTGCAAACACACTTTACCGGAAAACGTTGAATTAATAAGAGTATCGTACATGTTACATTTCTATGAGGGACCGTCTCTCAGATCTTAAAGAGCAAAACTCCTTGGATTCTCATGTGAACTTTAGTCTGTTCTTTCCCTTCCTCATTATTGCTTGTGTTACTTTGCAGCTAAAGTTCAAAATTCTGTAGAATACAATAGAACAGGTGGTAGAAAGAAACTATTTACCCTTGAGTTCTTTCCTTGTGAAATTAATTTTTTATTGAATTCTTGACTGTTCTTCAGTCCATTACACTTTTTTGTCAGTGTAGATAACAATTTATTCTGTAGATTCAGGGTGTGCAGGCTAAAAAGGTACAGTTATCAAAAGGCAGACGCACTAATTTTCCTAATGAAAACCGTCCCTGCTTTACACATGAGAATTATTTTGTGCTTCAATGATACATTTCAGCTGGCTTTTCTATTGTGAAGGACGAATTGTGGCATTGATGATATAAAAGTTTAGTATTTGATCTAAAAAAAGAAACACGGGGAGGAGAAGAAGTTAGAGGAAAAGCTAACATCTTGAATTGTTTGAGAAACAGATGGCCTATTTGACATTAAGAAGTCGCTCTGGCATTTTGGTCTCAGAGTGATTTCCAAGGAACTTCCGCAAAGCGTTGTACAAACCCCACAGAAATTTAAGCAATATCCATAGCAATTTACTGTTTTATTTACAAACTGAGACATATGTTTCCAGACCTTTGCAGTCCCATCTCCTCCCATATCTGCCCTCTTTCCACTGTGATTTACTTGTTTTCTTCACACTATTTGCCTTTCCCGCTTACTACGTCTGTACTTCCCTCCTCGTCTCTTTATGTCTGTTTTAATCCATGACTCATCAGTCAGTCAAATTCATCTGCCTCCAGGCTTGCCTGTTGACAGCACACTAGAAGCCCTGGCTTTACTGTACGTTCAGCCATTGTGCGTTTGTTGTGTGCGATGCTCTCTGTGCCTCTGGGACCACTGTGTGCTCGCATCTGAAACATTTTAGAGAGACACATATTTGCTGTTGTGGAGCACAAAGGGATATGCCATGGCAGAGGCTGTTTGAAGTGGCTTCACAGGGGGAACCAGAACCAGAACAGCAGATTTGAGAAACCATCGAAAAACGTTAACGCAATGTAACTTTGCTAGGGCCATCTAATCTAATGGAGGCGGATACTGATTCAATGTGAAGGCAGGGCCCTTTGAAGCTGGCTCTGTTGATGTTTCTAATGCAGCAGCCTCTTTGGTGAGACGCAGCATTCCTCTCTGCCTCTGAGCCAGTGCTTCACTGTATATGTTTAACAGAACTGGATGCGTGATAGCGTCTAATCCTGAAGATCCCAGGCTGCATTTCTACATGGAACATGTATTGAGCAGTTACACAGCGGAATTTGACTTCCTGAGAGGCTCCTTTTTCGAGGAAATTACGCACAGGTTGATTGGTGTTGGCTTTCTAGTGAAGAGCCAGATAGGTGTTTAATTGCCTTGTAAATTCAAAGCTGTGGGTTTAATGTGTATTTCCCATATGGTGAAAAGCCACCATCGTGTCCATCGGTATTTTTGGCAGCGTCCAGGTCCAGGTGGAGACGTGGAAAACTGCTCCTGTGTCAGCAGTGTTTGATGAGCTCAAGTCTGAGGTCAAAACTAATACAAGATTTTTCAGCCCAAAGGATGATCGGAACTGCTGACTGAGTCTTCATTAATGTTTACAACGAAAACTACATTACACATTTTTCGTTAGAACATCTGACTCAGCTGTGAAAAATGACTTTCGTATGTAGATATGGTAAATTTAGAAGGTGATCACATCAGCGTCCGTTCCCAGCTCAGCTGGTTGTGGTCAGTCTAATGGATTCAAACTGAAGAAAAGCACAGGTTTTGATTGTTGTCCTGCCATTTTCATAGGACTGAAAACAGGCACTTGTCTGTATTTATTTGCAGCGAGGTTCCATGGTGCCTTCATGTTTGTCGTGTTGTCGCTGTGTTCACACACGCACGCTAAAAATCAAAGACTTTGTTTGAACTTTTAAAAGTCAGAAACACACAAGAGAAACATTGAGATTTTTAGCACGCATATTTGATTACATTTCTAAAATTAAGACTACCACTAGATGTACATGTATATTAATAGCGGGTCTAAATGGGTGTTTTTTTATATTTTTGTCAATAGATTATGGTTGTCAATATTTGAAGATATAGGTAACCAGTGAATAATTGTATTGATAATTTATGATGTTCCATGAATATAAGCTTTTATATATTTGAAAAGACAGCTTTACTTATATACTGAAATATCTATTTCAGTATGTGAAACAAACAAACAAACTTCAAATGGAAATCTGTCCCCCCTAAAAACCACATCTGTCGATTATTTGTGTCACATTCCTGTTTACAAGCCGGAAAAAGTTAATAGTCCGGCGGGTCAGCCATGTTTTGCAGCCCTCATGTATTTCTTTCCAGGATGTTCCAGAATGAGCCATAAGAGTTTTTATCCAGCCTGACCTGCTGCTCAGTGTGCCATATCCCCAGCTCTGCAAGCAGCTCCGTTGGGACTATTCCTAACGTGCCCCAGCGCTTTAACACTGTAATCAGAGCCAGAGCAGGATATTAGTTAAATTACACATGAAAGCAGGTATATCTAAAGGAAGCCTGAGTGCTAAATATTATGGTAAATCATGATCTAATTCGTGTAAGTATATCAATAATAATACAGGCTTGCACGCAGCAGAGTAACAATCATTTTAATTCAAAATTTAGCTCTGATTTGGAAAAAAAGGCCTAAAAAGTCTGAGCTTAGGATCTAAGTTGCTACTCTGGGATTTTAGATCATGCCACATGAGCCTCATGAGTGCATTAAGCTCACTAGTTGTTCAAATATTCATTTTCATTTGAACACATCAAAGCATTTCAAAATATTTTACTTAAAATATTCAAGACAGATGAGCTAATGACCAAAGTTCAAGTGTCGGGGTAAAAGTCTTTTTTGTCTATTTGAAGTTTTTAATCTTCAATCGCAGCCTTAATATAAATAATTTCACATGTGTGGATATTTCCTAATGTGCTGTCCTGGTGAGAGTTATATTAGAAGAGTGAAAATAAAACCATAAAACTCAACACAGACGGGAAACATGGAAATGTTGTTTATGTTGTTTAGAAATTTCAAACTGACAAAGATGGTCTGTTTAAAAGTTAAAGACATAATGTGTTAAATATGGCTTCTCAGAGATGTTAGCCGGAGGATTTTGTTACATTTGATTTGTAGTCTGTGTGCTGAGCTTTGATCAGATGTTTCTGAATCATATTAACTGTTGAACATCATAAAGCAATGAATCACTGTAAAGTGTTTATTTCTTCAAAAAGGTGACAATGTGGAAGTGGGCCCGCGTCGTTAATGGAACCATCATTTAAGACCAATCTGGTTTAAAAGATGCACAAACAGAAAACTTTCTCTAACTCTTTAATATCTCTTTTCTTAGATATCTTAAGCCTCTAAGTGCCGAAATCAACCTTAAACCTTCATTTGTTGTGTTATGACATTTCATACGTCACTCATATAGACCAGGCAGGATAATGAACAAAGTAGAAAAATCACTGATAGCGATTATGAATTAGAAATAAGTGTTCATGTTGTGTTGGGTGACCCACAATAAAAGTTTAATTGTATGCTGATTGTTATGACGTGATGGTTTGGAGTTATTCATTCATCTTTTTATTCCAAACAAATGAAGACATAACTTCTTGGTTACTAAATAACCTGTAATGGTCTGACTTTTCTGGCATGTTTTTCCATAATATTTTCTTATGTGGTTTTCTATTTTTAACCAAGGATTCAGAGACTACTGTTGAAATTTAGTATTTAATCTTAATAGACTTCAGTTTTGTGTGTTTAAGTCTCAGTGATCTTCATCTCTTGTTTCACTTCTCAGGCCTGGTGCAGTGTGCTCTTTACTGTTTTGTTGCTGTTGACAATGGACAAACACCTTATCCGGCAGTACTGACACAATTAGTAGGTGAATATGTTTGTGAATGGTTTGTTACACACATTATAACGCTCGGTGTAGAACCTATAAGGGTTTAAAGCCACTGTATAACTGCGAATTATTATTGTCTGACATAGTTCTAACTGAGAAAATGAAGGAGCAGTGGTTCCAACATGAAACGTCCACACATTACAAATGTGTGTTCACTGTATGTGTATCTGTATGTATTTTTGTTGACTGGTGAATATTTTTGTGCTCATTGTCTCGCCCTTTACTCAGTTATCGTCCACACTTCTTAACCAAATTTCTCCCCTTCATTCCAAATCAAACAACTCCCACCTACCCCCCCCCCCCCCCCCCCCCATCACCAGCACCCTCCCCCTCTACCAGGCACATCCCCACCCCCACCACCCAGCCAACCACCCTACTCCTCCCAAAGCCCTTCTAAGTGGATACCCCACAGGAAGGGTTTCTCTGGGAGAGGGAAATGGGTCCCAGATGTCTGCCTCTGTGTCACTATAAACTCTTGGGATGGAGCCCTTGAAGGATGAGTATAAGAAGAAGGAGGGATGAAGGGGGGATTGAAGGATGGCAGTGCGTGTGTGAGTGTGTTGTGTGCAAATGTCAAAAACAGCGGCCAGGGAAGGTGAGGAAACTCCCAGGTTGAAGGTGAGAAGGAAACAACGACAAGTTCCTTTTTTTCTTGGCCTGTGTGAAGTTCCATAAACATCCCTTAGGATTGGTCACGCTGCCACGCTCCTACCAGCTGATTACGTCGCCACAAAGCTTCAAGTTTTTGTTGTATGATTGAAATTGAATTGACTGCATTCCAGAAAAGAAACTTCAAAGTGCCAACATGGCTGCTCTTCAGAGTAGAATTTCTGTTGGGTCAAAACCATATGGCGTGGAGACAGAAATAGACAATACATCTGCTTTTTTTGATACCCAAGCTGCCCCGTGTGCACATGTAAGCCTATATACTGTATATTGATATATGTATGATTTAAATTCGTCCCCTCAAAGGGTTAATTATGACCCCCGTGGAAACAGAACAAAGATGAGAGCAGGGCCTAAGTGTTTAGTGAAACATTATGTCAAGACTCTGACAAGGAAATGAAATGTGCAACATCAATCAGCATATGAGGATCCAGATCAAACGAGCCTCCACACTCCTGCATCTGGTTCTGTTTGGACAGCCTCACTTTTTTCCCCCTTCTCCTTTCTTCTCTTTTTCCTTTCCCATTTCTTATTCTTCTCTGCTTCTCTCCCTCCTTTCCTCCCCTCCTATTCTTCTATGGGCCACAACATTCCTGTTGGCCTACCCGCTATGTTAGCTCATTTTTTCCGTCATGATGGCACAAAGCCATGCTTTCGTTAAAGGTAAGCAGGAGCTCCCCAGATTAGCACCAGGAACAATGACTTTCCTATCCTTCTCCATCAGAACTCCCAAATGAGCCTATGTACCAACACGAGTTAATCCTGGTGTAGACTTGGTCTGTTACGTAAATTTTACTTCATATATTCAACCATCTCCCCTCCACCCTCACTTTGATCCAAGCCATCATTTTTTTAAACTCTCTTTTCCAAGTTGATTAAACCCAACTGGGACTGAACTACTTTATGTTCTCTGTAGCTCTATGAATGAAATGTAAACCGAAGCAATCATAGGGCTCATCAGGAAGCTTCTGAAGCGTTCTCCACACATCCCTCAATCCCCTCTGAAATCACACCCAAATTCTTGTCTAGAACCCTTCAGAGTGTGTCCAAAGCAGGACACTATTTAGTTACAATGCTTTACACATTTGTTTATGTCTGAATCCATATCACCATGACCTGAACTTGACTGAGCCGGTTTCCGTCTTTTGCAGACGGACGCGCTTATACATTTGAACTACAAAAGGGTACGCTGTCATCAGAAAGTCCAACATTTCTACAGCTTAGAGCGGTGGAAAACTCCCATCAAGATGTTCTGCAGTGATCCGCAGATGAGTCATACGGCCATGACGCACGTAGGTATAAATGGCTGCTGTTGGGAAACAGATAGGGATGCAGTTGCGGATTCAAGGTTGAGTAACCGGTCGAAATTGTAGTTTGCACTGACTGAAGGAACAAGAACTTTTCTCAGCAGGGTCTACCTGCTGTGTCATGGCTGCTAAAGTGAGGAAAATGCATTTAAATGACTGCAGATCCAGATGGGCTGATGGTGTGGGGGTAGAACATATGCTGGCTCTGCCTTGAGGCCATGGATGGCACAATTAGGTACTCCTTCACCTCTGCAGGCTGAGGTCTCTGGGCCATCAAGGTCAGGGGTTATTCAGGGTCCTGAACGCACCACCTTCCAAATTCAATGCAGAGGAATCAGACAACTGATGATGGAGAATTCTGCTGAAGAAGAGCCATTTAAAAACAAAGAATGGCCAGGTGAGGGAATGGACTGAGTTTCTAATTTGTGAGCAAAAATTTGAGTTTAATGAGACAATATGATGTCAGGAGTGTCATTTTAGATAAAACGATGCCCCATTTTCCTTACAAATAATAAAAGGTCCTGTTAATCAATAGGAAACAAAAGAGCTGTACGTGGTTGACTGTGTAATTGATACATAAATACCTCACATCAATGCAATGTTTTTTATGCCAGTTTCGAGATGCTTTGTTGAGATGTGAGTTTTAACATTATCCTGTGGACCTCCTCCTTCAAAATTGGGAGATAAGGTGCTGACTTTAGTGAAAAACAGAGTTCCCTGAGTGCCCTCCTATGCCAACTCATACATCTCCTTTATTCTTTCAGCCCCCAGTTTTCTTCTTCAATTCAGTCCACCGTGTGACTTATGGTTCTACAGATTTGTTTTTACTGTATCTGGTCATCAGCAGGGTGGAAATATTGTCTCACCAACTTTAGTGTGAACACACTCCTTTTTAAAACAAAAAGAGACTGAAACCCCAAAAACTTTATTTGCCTGCTGTATTTGAGAAAAACATCGCAATATGATGTCTCTATGAGAATCACATAAATAAAGATGTATGAAGTATCCTGCATTAAAGCGTAAATAAAGGGAATGTCAGAAATACAAGGTCTCTGTAGACACGAGGATGCAGACGGACTGAGGGTCCAGCCCAAATCTGGAACCCATAAATTCTCAGACATCTCTGCAACATTAGACTCAGCACTTCTTATTGGTTGAGAGCGCCACTTACCCCCTTTTCTCTATCACCCACCCCAGTAACGCACACTTCCTGCTTTCATGGCCGTCCCAGGCTGAACCACACCCCCTGGAAATCTGTTGAGCCAATTAGAAGTGCACGGCAGCCCCGGGATAGCGTTTGCCTATAAAAGAAGCAGAGGTGGACTTGCCTGTCAAATGGTTTGTTGTTGCTCTTTCTGGCAGACAGAGGGGGAAATGTGAACGTGAGAAATTAAAGAAGGTAATCAGATAACAAGACAGCACCTCTGATGGAGCTTTAGCAGCCCGAAACTTTCTTTGACGGACAAGAAGACTTTTTTTCCTCAAGGTTGTCCAGCTGAGGTTTTTAGTGGCTGTCAGTGTAGACAAACTGTGTGTCAGAGTTGGACAGAATCCCGTCTTGCTGTGGGGACCGGAAAAGACATCTTTGGACGCTACAATGAGAGAAGAGGTATCTTGCACCAACTCGCCTGAAGGAGGGCTGGGGGCCAGCGAAGAGGAGCTGGAGAGAGGATCAAAAAAGACCATGCAACCGGGAAATCGAAAACGTTCCCCTTATCCTAAAAAGGACAGCCTCGGTCAGGCAGAGGAGAGCAGTACCGGCAGCCCCACCAGCCTGCTGCCGGCAGGGCCCAAACGGCCCAAGAAGAGCCCCTCCACGGTGGTGTCTTTGGCCCCCACCTCACTGGGACCCAGGCCAGAGCCACCCTTTGAGGAACTACACTCTCAGCGGGTCATTGCCAACGTGCGAGAGCGCCAGCGCACGCAGTCCCTGAACGATGCCTTCGCCTCTCTGCGCAAAATCATCCCCACGCTACCCTCAGACAAACTGAGCAAGATACAGATCCTGAAGCTGGCCTCGCGCTACATCGACTTCCTCTACCAGGTACTGCAGAGCGACGAGATGGACGCCAAGCTGGCCAGCTGCAACTACCTGGCCCATGAAAGACTCAGCTACGCCTTCTCTGTGTGGAGGATGGAGGGGGCCTGGGCCATGTCCACCAGCCACTAAAACCCCACAGAACGTTTTATCCTTTACCCTCTTGTTTCCATAACTCCACCCCCACCCGACCTGTCTGTATTTGCATCCATATCCTGACCTCTGACCCTTCTGATTTCTTCCTTTCTGATCCAATACTAACCTTTTTTTCCTAAAATGTTTGCATACATTTTTCCTTTTCAACTTTTTTCCAATTGAAAATTTGTCGCTGCACCCTTCCTCTCCCGTTTTCCTTCACTGTTTCGGCTTCTGTCCCTTGTCTGTTCCACAGTTGTGTCCAGTACAGAGTGTCAGGCCACTGCGACCCATAAGGTATGGACAAAAAACATCAACACACATTTACACAGAGAAAAAAAAATCTTTCCCTACTATATCCTAAGGATTTTTTCAGCACATTGAAAAACAAGACTTAAAATATTTTGCATGCTGAAAATAACATCACCAAAGACTTACATTTTAAAAGAATAATCCGCCATACAGAATTCAATGTGCATTATGTTTAGAGAACAAATACCAGCAAAGTTACAACTATTTAAAAATAATTCAAATGTTTCAGTGGAACAATGTGCAGTTTTGACAATACCTGTCCAGTCACATGCAGAACAGATTTTACTAACACAAGACAAAAAAAACAACTGCTCAATCCGCCTGCAAAACATTTTCTAAAATGTATCTAAATATATACTGAAATCTCATTTTAAACATGATGTGTGGAAATTCCCACACATGTTGCAAATGGCTTAAAATTTCTGTGACATGCCATGAAAATGTTTATCTTAGTCTTCAGTTTATGCTCAAGAATATTGTTTTCAATTTTATTCAGTGTAACTTTTCAACTTGCTTTTGGAGACTTTAAGACTTTGATACTTATCTGGTTTGGTTTATAAAACCCTATTTTACAGCTGATATTCTGTTAGTCTGTTCTCTTCACTTAAGAAAATTAATCAATGAAACAAAATAAGGTAAAAGGAAAAATGTGCAATGACACGTTTCACGTGAGTAAAATCCATCTAATATATACATGGTGTCACCCTGGAAAAAAGCAGCATCACACTATCAGTTGTAAGCAAAGTGCTGACATTAAATGTAAGCTAGTGACACAAACCAAACCAAACCAAACAAAAAAGAAAGAAAATGCTCTAAATTATAGATTGCAATTTTTAAAACCCAATATCTAAATTATTTAGGAAATGTTTTTGGATTCTGTTAAAACTCTTTTCTTATAACAGATTTGTAAACTATTTATTTACAGTACATAGATATAAATCGCTATGCGGATTATTAATGAAGCACTATGATGAATAAATCAAATAAAACTTCAAATCAGCAGAAATAACTTTTCTCCAAGTGTGTTTCCCCAGACAGGCAGGACTTGAAAAATTGATAATAATATATAAATATAATTAGTTTATGCAGTAGCAAGATTCAGAAGTGCACAAAGCCTTTCAGTTGTCTCACTTTATGAAGTGAAATTATCACTGTGGTGATCTAACCTCTCGGCTCCAGTGTTTGACAGACCTCTGATGAATTTAAGACAAATGTTTTCCCCCACAATCTCCAGGGTCTGTTTTCTTTTTTCAATCATTTTAACAGACACCAGATTCCAGCACAGGTACAGCATGAAAGGAGGGGAAAAAAGGGAGAGTGGGGAGAGAAAAAAAAAAAGTGGAGGCAAATCACTCCCTCTCCCCCTGCAGCCTTGCCCTCTTTCCTTCAGGATCCTGTATCGTGCAATCAGGCCTTGCCGGGGCCCAGACAAGCAGGAACCTTTAGATTGGAAACAGTTGCGAGGTTTCAGGAAGGTGTGTGTACCAGGGTTAGGGTCAGCCTGTTTATGTCAGTGCACGTATGCGTGTGCAGTCGTGTATGTGTTTGGAGTTGGGCTCTAATTAGTTATGCAGCGGTGTGTGTGGCTGCGTGAACATGTGCATATACGTAAACAGGAATACACTCGCAGATGTTTTTTCAGTGATTTTTATCTCTCTCATCTTCTGGTTTTGGTTTTGTGAGACTTGATGTCGGATTGCGTCAAAAAACATGAGGCCAAAAAGCCCCCTTCAAAATGGAATTATAACATAAAACAAAAATAGTTCTTTGAAAAAAAGACTGAAGGCAAAGAATGGAAGAAATGATAAAGGGCAGAGAAGGTTTAGGAGTAAATGTGGATCTGCACAACACTCGTTTTTCATCTGTGAGCTGACAGGTCAAGGTAAACACCTTTCAAACAGGCCTCTAAGTGTCACACAGTTACAAGTTATACACTGCAAGAATCAATGAATCACATATTAGAATACAAGACTGCGTACAGCGTGTACACATAATAACGTCCAGATGCAGACCAGCAGCTGCCGCCCTTGTGCGCAGGTGTTCTACCCCGAATTAGTGCAAACCTCCAGTGGCCTCTGCAGCAGACGCAGGCTCCACTCTGCGTTTGTGGATGGAAAGCCAAGGCTCCTGTTTGTGAAGCCAAGTGTCCTTGAACGCATCGCTGCAGCCATTACCCTCCACTTTGCCTGTTCTGCCTGCAATCTACTATGGAGAGTGTTTAAAGTCAGGGCTTGCATCTGGCCTAAACCTGTCATTTCTTGGAGAGAAATTAGGTTAGAAAGGGTCAAGAAACTTCAAAGGCACGAGCACGAATGTGCGTTTGATCGAAAACAGGGTGCATATTGATGAGGTCATGCGTATGAGGACACGTGTAATTCAGTGTCATTCTGACATGTGTATGTCCTCGGAAAAAATGAGCAAAAACGATGGAGTTTCTCCAGATTTTTGAGGGGCTATTGGAGTGCTCTAAAAGCTAAAAAGTACTCCTTGCTCATTGTACACAGGAGGTGGACAGCATTACTGAACCTATTGACATCAAATCAATTATCGTAATGTTGGAGTTTTAAACCATGAAAATGTAATTAGACATTTTTTTAAGGTAATAAAACATACTGCGGCGCACTTAAATGACAAAGAAAACATTTCTATTTTTCTTTGGAAGCGTGCACACACACGACCATAAGTGCAACTCGTGTGGTTTTATGCGTGTCAAAATGACGTGTGGATATCTGGCCCAGACACAGAAGAGGACTGCTCTGTTGAGGTTGAGGAAAACAATACTCTCTCCTCTGTTTATATCATAATCAATGATTCTCACTGCTCCTTCCTCTGCCGGAACTCCTGGCTCTGCTGCACCCGCTTGTGTGTATGTTTTACAGTTTGAACTGTCCAGCTGTTGGATGCTCTTCTGTGCATATTGAATATCTGGCTTTGACTCTTGGCTGATTGCAGACCAGATGTGAAGTCCTCTGTGGTTCATATGCGTTTTTAAAGGCCCCGTCCAGAAGTTGCGGCTTCTGATAGCGATTTTTATTTTTAGAGGTCCAAACTGAAAGCCGAGCGCAGGTGGGAGGGTTGTGTGTGTTGTGTGTGCATTTGATTGCTTTTTGTGCCTGAGCATTTATTCCTATGTGCGGTGGCCAGACAGCTGCAGGGATAGAGGGCCATGGAGGAAGGACCCCTGATTTGACACGTAGGCAACAAAAGACTTGAAATACATCAGGATCTGTCAAAACCAAAACTAATGCAATCATAACTCCAAGGCGCAAAGAGAAGGAAAAAAAATAAAAATAAAAAAATAAACAGCAAAAGAAAAAAATTGTAACCATACTTTATTATCCTTTTTGCACATTTGTAACAACAACAAAAGAAAACACTCTGTTCTGCTGGTTTTTCATTTACACATTCATGCCTCTATGGCATGATGAAAGTCATGTGGACTGGACTGTGTTTGCATGTTTCTGGAAGCATGGAAAGACACAGTCTAATTACAGAGCTGTAGATGAAATGTTGGCTTGTTAAAACAAGATAAGTTTAAGTCAAAGAGCTGCAGGGATTTTTCCACTTTCCACTTAACAGAAGTGTTTGTTTGTTTGTACGCATTTTTATGACCCTGTCGCTGTCAGAGTCCGGTCGGAGCAGGACTGCACAGAGATTTTGTTCTGCTCGGGTCTTCCGTTAGTAACCTCTGCTCATCTTTGTGTTTTTCTTCTCTGCAGATGAATTGACAAATAGGAAAACTCTCCAAACTCAAAGAAATCCACTCCCGCCTCACAAGATTTCCCCACGTTCCCCATCCCTAACATATCTTTTTTTTCTCTGGACATGTTCTTGACTCGTGACAAGATAAGCAGCTTTCGGTGTTGCTCCTCGTGGAGAAGTGACAGTCCAGTGAACTGCTGAACACTCTGTGTGAGGGGAAAGAGAAACAAACAGCTGGCCTGCGGTGACAATGAAACAATACGGCTGCTGGTACGAGTGCCTTCGGTGACACCGTGATAACCATCATCCACCGGATCTTTTTTCGTTGGATGACTCACTGCCTGACAGACATTTAGACGACTAATGACAATGGCACAGTGATGGTTGGAGGGCAGTCACAGCCAATGAATGTTTACAGCTACGATGCTAATAAGCTAATCGCTCTGGCTCTTAAGGCAGGAGGAGGAAGAGCTCACGGAATCCGACGCAGATCTTCGACTTTGTGGTGCCGGGTAGCTTCCTAAATATTTGGGGAAGGGTTTGAACTGTATCTGTTTGTGGATTTGATATATGCACACTGTATTACTTAAACCCTGCTTATGCTTTCCTCTGCTTTTGATGAGAAACCACTGATCACAGTTCAGTCACTTGTTACTTTTGGGGTCTGCTGGTTCAGTATTAGTGAGAGAGGCAGGAAGCTGTAATCTGAACCGCAGCTTCAGAACATCTTTTCAAACAGGCTCTCTCTGAATAATTGAAATATAATGAAGCAGAAAGTTTCTTGGAAAACCTGCCAAAGTGTTGATGAAGTGATCACATGCACAGTAGACTGGATTAATTTGGAACAGTGTTTATATTACTGTTTGATCATGTTTCTTTTATACTGTTTTTTTTTAACTTCCTTTTAGTTATTTGTCATGTTTCATCTCCTGTGGACAATAAAAGCTTGTTCAATGCTGTGTATGCGCACACTATCATCTTAATCAAAGGAGTGATGCCCTTCTTTTTTGAGATAAGAATCAAAATGATAGAGGAAAGAGTAATGAATCTCCAAACAAAATTGTAAAGGATAAACAAAAATAACAGACAGAAATACATAAAGGACCTCGTTCATTAGTATATAATTTACATTTATTAAGAATTGATGACCACAAGAGAATAGAAAAGTCCAAAGACAGTCAAAAAGATACAAAGACATTATTATGTACACTGTACAGAGGCAAATTCAAACAGTCAGTTGTGATTAAACTGGCGTTGTCTTGTAGTTTTAATTAAGCTCCACATTATTAAGGCCACTTTCACACAGGTTGGTCTGAAAAATTCATCCGATAATTTGGTCTCAAGGTACATGAACGCTTCATTTTTTAAAGGTCAAATACAAAAATAGATCATTTTTATTAATTAAGACAATAAAGATAAGACATAAGTTTGTCAGGTTACTGTCACGTAAATCCATTTACCGCTACACTCAGGCCATCCGACCTCCAGAAAGCGCTGCACGCCAACTGGTGGGACGCTGTCATGTGTTTTCACATTTTTACTGCATTGACACGTAACGGACAGGTTTGAGTTTTAGCTGCACGAACAATGCAACACACAAAATAACCAAACGGTAATGAAAGCCAACATACTGTATTAGCATCGTCATAACTGTGTTAGACACGCAAAGCGCACTTCAAAGACAATGAATCTTAAAATATAAATACACGTCATGTCAAATGAATTTGTTTATATATCTGTGCTTTTTGACTGTTTGGAAAGAGAAAAGAGGAACTCGCAAGTTCTTGAAAGTCTTTGATGTTCTTTAGGCCATGCCAGTCCAGGGACAGCACATTGTTCTTATAAACTTTGGTTGTGTTTTAACCTGTGTCCAATTGCACTGTGTGGATATCATAGACTGTCTATTCACCCACATCCATTACCACTGTTTGGCCCAGGGAGCAAAAGCATCCCTGACCCTGACAAGAAACAGACCAGTGCTTGATACACGAAGAACAGAGGACATTTCAGATTGTCCTTGTTAGATACAAATATTTAAAAAAGAGACATCGAACGAATACAGCAGGAATGCTCATCCACAGGAAGAAACACTGGTCCACTTAACAACAATATCAGAAGTTCAGATTTTGGGACACAACTTATTTATACCCTCTACTCTAAGGGCAGCCTAAGTGCACTTTGTGTCTGTGTGATTGGTATAAATGTTTTGAATGAATCTCATTCAAAATGTGATCTGCATTCGCACATATACAATCATTACTGAGTGGTCATGCTGCGCTGAGGCTTCATGAGGGATTTCTGTCTCCTGTGAATCTGATGCCCCAGTAGTTAGAGGTATGAGCTCTTCATTGTGACTAATGCCATCAATGCAAACTACAGTATGCTTATATCTTTAAGATGCATTTCGCCAAAGACCGATGCTTGGTATCTTATCTGTCAGAGAGTGATAACAGAAAGTGCTGCTAACTAAAGCCTTGCTGCATATGCTCGCCTGACAGGCAAAGGAAGAAAAAAAAAGAGAAGAGATTCAAGAAAATATGTGTGGACATAGAAACAATGCGAAACATATGTATCTCAGACTTCATTGTAGCTTCACTCTGGATTACTGGAATCTTAAGAATAAAAAAAATCTCATGCTGACATTCACAGAAATGTGTGCTACAGGTCAAAGGAATGAATATTCAAATGGAGTAAAACTGCAAACAAATAAGATATTGGATTGTTGACATGCTTCTCTTATTTTTTGTCAAGTTGTATAATGATACAGTGCAAGATGATCAGAAAACTGACCTTATTCCTTCATTGGATGTTTGTCACATGCTTAAAAATGACAAGCTCATCTCTATTCTCCTTCACCTGTCATTTTCCACTTTTCTGTTCACTTTCAGAATGGGAAGAGTGAGTGGTCCTGGACAGATTTTTTTTCTGGAATAACAAACAGTGTCAATATATTTGAAGTTGCCGTTTTTTTCTCATCTTTGCTCATGCTACGTCATGTTGCACTGGGTGCTACAACAGAGCAAAGATTCTTCATTATGATATTAATGATCCCCTCAGGAAAGCCTGCAGAGACCTCAGGGGAATACAAATGTGGCCCAGTGGGCTGCTGTTCCTCAGTGTGTGTTGGAAAGGGAGTGGCCATACAGCAGCCACATAGTAATACAGGAGGTTTTGAGATGTAACATCAGCTTCCAGTGATGATCCAAATGCATAGCTTTGTATCTGTACGCGCGTGTGTGTGTGTGTGTGTGTGTGTTTCCACTGAGAACTAGTATGAAGAAACAGGCAGTAGTATACTCAGACAGAGTCCTTCTTCCCCAACATTTTTTCCGGTTGTGTCCTTAAAAAAAGAAAAAAAAGAGTTCCTAACACATAAACTACAATGTTGCCAAGAGGCACACGCGGGTGGATATTTTAGCCGGCATTGTCCCTACCTGTGAGATGTGAAGGAACCCATTGACAGTGAGGCGATGGCGCTGACCGCCTCGCTGTCCGAGTCTCTGCGGACTCTTTGTCTCTGTGCCTGCAGGTAGGACAGATCCGCTGTGGCAGCCGAATCCCTCACACTCTGCCAATACTCACCTGCAGGAAGCAAAGGGATGGAAAAAAGACAGAAACGGGAAAAAGGAAGAAGGAGAAAGAGAGATTAATACCTTCAGTCACTGGTGTTTTCATTGTGAATTGTTCCTTGAGGGAAAAACAATGCGTTACTAAAAAGCACTGGTTGGCTTACGAACCCCTGGTTGTAGTTGTTTGATCTGGATTAAAATGGCTGTGGAATAAACAGCGTTTTTGTCTAAATAACCAAGTTGATCATTTCACAACTGTAAACTCAGTTTCTGTCTGCTCTGTGTGGAAAAAAAATAAATCACTGATTGCATACGTGTTCATCTATAAGTGTGTGTTCTGGCTCCGCATGCATCTTGCATATACTTTACCCAAGGCCTGAATTATGGGCTTAACATTCCTGTGGCTATTCAAATATTTTTAATTAATCTAATTTGGTTGGGATAACATTTGTGTGCAATCAGGAGGGGATGTTGTGAAGGTCGTGTGCCAGAGAAGTGTTTGAAGATAATTGAAGCCAGGGCGGCTGTGACTGCATGTGTGTGTGCATCTGTCTGAGTGTGAGACGGCTGGAGGGAAGGATGGGAGACAGGGATGTAAAGGAGGAGAGGTGGTCACAGAGCAGGAGCTGTGAGGGAGGAGACTGCTATGTAGAGTAAAAAAGAGAGAAATCAGATGATAGACTGCTCATATCACACACACAGAAAGGAGAACTTAGTCCATCAGTCATCAAAATAGAAATGTGAATACAAATTCAAGCATTTTTGAAGGTGTATTTCAGAGCAAATAAAAGAGTTACAAATGCTATGACCGCAACATGAAACTATAATGAGGTAAAATGTAATGAGGTTAAAATTTGAACTGGAATAATATTCCTAAGTTTATAAGTTATTGTATTATAAAACACAGACATGCATAACACCACAGAGCACAAACAACTTGACCGATGAAAAATCATCCACTAAGAAATATTTGTTGATGGGAGCACGTTTGCTCTCTTCAAACCAGCTGGCTGAAATTGTTTTCCAGCTCATGTTTATTGTGACAGTGGTTCTGCTGGTTATTTGGAAGACTTGAAGTTACTTTGTTGATACACCCAAGAGTCATTAAAACAGAAATAACTTAAAAAGAGCCACAAAAAGTTGTAGTTAGATCTATCAAAGTACATTCACTAAAGTGCAAACACATATGTATGAGTTTTTGGGTACTTTAGTCCATTTAGACAATGTTGGATTTATCTGACTTTGTAAATTGAGATTTATATGCAAAGATTTAAAAAACACCATGACAGTTTTTACAAGAGATGAATTGATCATCTAGTAAACTGGCGTCTAATCTGACCAAAATTTGTAACAAGTTTAACAGCAGTAAATGGAACATATACGAACATATTAATCACAGACTCAGTCAGCAGCTGCAGTACTATCTGTAAATCTGACATAAATAGCTTCCACATGGTAAAACAAAAACTGTTTTACTTCATAATGTATAATGGTTTTATAATCAGAGTTCAGATTTTTCATTGGGTCATTTTATTCATATGTCTTTAAGTAATTTTTGTGATTTTATTAATGAGACTGACTGTGACTAGGAGCCAAAATACTTCTTCCACCACAGTCTAAAGCCTATTTAAAGGTGCTGGATGCTACATGCTGTGTTGGTTTCTCACCCTGGACTTGGAGGACTCTCTGCAGAGAGCGGACTGCGTTTTCACAAGGCTTCTGATCCAACACCGACTGGGAGAGCGGCTCCACCTGAGACACATCCAAGAGTCAGCGGGTACAGGATGGCTCGTACTGAATGAATCTGTGAAAACCCAGCTTTATGTGCGGCATGTGCATCTATAAATCTCACCTCCATGCCCAACAACGCGCTGACGCAAGCCTCAGACGCATCACAGATGGCTTTGAGGTCATGCCCCCCCTCCAGAGCGAGGACTACCTGGCCCCCTGCCAGTGACATCAGCTGACGGGTCAGGAAACCAAAGCCTTAAAGAGGTCAAAAACACCCAAATCATGAATACACGCAGAAGCTGAGAAAGAAAAAATCAGCCTTACTCACAACCAAATGATCAGGCACATGTGAGCCTAATGAGAGTGCATTTTACCTAGCTATGAAAAGATATTAATTAGAAAAATGGGACGCACTTTCATCATCATATTTGCTGTATGTAATTCAGAAACGGGAGCAGACTTACACTTGGCTGTAACCTTGTAGCCGCCGAGAGAAGGCAGGTGTCCTTCAACAGCATCAAAGCCCGCTGACACCAGCACCACGTCCGGAGAGAACTCATGGGCGATGGGCATGACCACAGCTCTGAGGACAACGTGAGGAAAGACAATGCTGTGTGTTAGGCTGCGCTGATTCATCCCTGTGGTCTGGATGAAATTTGATAGTCCATTTAAGAAGCTGTACTTTCAACAGGTGTTCCTGATTTGTGAGAAAACGAGTGAATACGATATAATAATGTGCGAAGGGAAGTCGTAGTGTGATAGAATTATTTTTATCAGAGTGGGATAAAAAAAAAACCACTCATTAGTGTAATGATCAGAATTTAAGTTGTCTTCACAATGAAAACAAAACACAGTTGAGGTGATTAATTTTCAGTGAGAACATTGATGTTCTGTAGGACTTCTCTGGATCATTAACTGAAAACATTTACTTGATTCTACACTCCCTCCATTGAAAATGATGAAAAGAGAAATTATCAAAGGCAGCACTCCAAGTGCTTGATCTCAGCTCTCGATCCACTTCTGGTAGGCAGCCAACTCCGGGAGGTGGTGTACCTCCCAGGTGTGAACGTGTGTAACTGTTGAAATGGTGAGGCTCGTAGATAAAAGTAAAGAAAATATATATGAATGAATGAATGAATGGTGTTCTGGCTGCTTTAGTTTTGCAAAAAAACATTTGCTTTACCAGGGGGGGTTCTATACCTGTAAAGCCTCCTTGGTGCTAAGGCCTCCCTTGAATCACAGCACATTATATGTCCACATACTGTGTCCTCTCCTCAGGGGAGACCACTTTCCCTGCTTCTATGTTCTCTATCTTACTTCCGCTTGTTTCCCGTTGCCAGTTATTTAGCAAGAGCACATAGCCCATGCCGCGTTTGATTCTTTCTCGCTCGCCCCTTTTCTCTCAGCGGCAGTTCAAAGGCATTTGTGAACGTCTGGTTCCTATTAGGAGCTCGTCCCTCTTCTCACGTCACTGACAGCCAGCCATCTGGGATCCATTGGGGCTAATTACGCCGCCTTTGGATTCCCTAACAATGCACCCCCCACTTCTTCTCTTCTTTTCTGCTGCACTCTCCTTTCCTCCATAGTTCATAGCTGGTCAGTAGCCACTTGGAAATGCCGTAGAAAAAACTAGCGTTTGCAACACCTATTGTGCTACCTGAGATGCACCTTAAATTCAGATCACCTTAGTCACCCTCCACATGAGCACACACACAATGTCACGACATTAAATCTTAATGCAGCTTAGCTCTCTCTCGATTGTAATGGAGTGCCGCCTCTCTCAACCACAATATTTCTCCTGTCACTATAACACACCCAAAAACAGACGCAGTTCATCAACAGCCATTTTCTGTTCCATCCCAAAGACTCAAGCACATACACACACATACAAACACACACGCAGTCTGGAACACTCTGTCATCCAAATCATGTACAAATTAAATGACAGAACTGGCACTGGGCTAGAAGGACTTAACTGCATAAACATTAAAATCATGACGCAGAAAATTTTGTGCATATGCCGTGTTGCGCATTTATTCACAGAATTATTCCACCGTCTTGTTCACTGGAAAAGTATTTAAACGCATGACTTTGTCTAGCTTTAACTTTCACCTTAATCAATATGAACTCTTACTGAGGGTAGCTGGTCCCTCCCACACTGACACATGACAAAAGAGTTTTTCTGGACAAGCATCCCGGACATTACAGCTTCACGGTATGAGCCGCAAACCACCAGACCACCAGGACACTTCTCCTCTACAGAACTTTGATTTGATATATGTTCCATGGGTAACACACAATACAGCGCACTACTATACTGTGGTTAACTGAGGAAGTTTTACACATGAAAACACTTGCAATTTCCTAAACTGGATGAAAAATACTAAAACCAGACGCTTGCTCAGGAAAGGACCAGTTGTTTCTTAATTAGCATCCAGGGCTCCAGTAAACACTGGACTTAGTGTTTCCAAGCCTGCCTACTGGGCCGATGGATTTTACCAGTATGGGTAAGCTCATTAGCATCTTTCCTCTGACGAGGGGCCCACCCACTGTGTGTGCTGCATGCAGCACCATGCAGAGCTCATATACCATTTCAATCATCTGGTGGCGAACCACTGTTGCTGACAGACACATTCTGTGCTCATTACAATGTAGTGCACAACCGAGCCGTACTGATTTAGTAGGAATCTTCTGAATGAATTGAAAAGTGTGAAGACAGAAGGTCCATCTGGGCACTTGGCTTCAAAATGAACTATGACCAACATGTTACTACAGAGATCCTTTAACAAAATCTATTGGCATTTTTATGGATTAATTTCAAAATCAGGTCCGTTTTTTGTTTTACCATAAATATATGTTAACTGCCCTTTTATCTAAAACTTGAAAGAATCAATTCAGAAATCCCGGCAGATAACAACACCTAAATGATAGTTTTTAGGTTGTTTCTTTATTTTATATTTACATGGTCAGAGAAGATTCCTCAATTTTAAGGATCTATATCTTCGATAAAATAAAATGTATTGCTTTGAATTTGATAATTTAAATGGAAAAATGCTCAGAAGGTTGTTTTTTTTCTGATGGCATTTAATGTCATGATGTGTTGCAAAAAAGATAAACCTGAACAGTGAAAGAAGAAAAAGGCCGATTTCTGAATCTATACACATTTTATTCACTCCAGCTGGGCAAGGAAATAATAGTTTTTTTCTTCTTAAAGCAGGTTTACAAACTGTTAAATGACTAAATCTACAATAAAATTATAATAACGTCAATATGGTAAGATTTGGAGTTGAAATAGGATACGACCAGGGGCAACAGGGTATATGATGAAGTATTGCCACAGAAGTAGTTCTTTCATTGTTACTGTTTGCTGGCTTTGCCATTAGATCATTCTCATACTACATGACCCTAATATCAGTAGCCCGCCAGAGAGAGAGAGAGTTCAAGTGTCAAAATAGAATCCTAAATTGGAATTTTTGAAAACTAGAATTTACCTGAATGCAGCCAGGTATTCTGCATCTCCCATTGGGGGGTTCAAACCGCCCATCCATCCGACATTCACATTGAAGCCCTCACCCGCACCTGCACCCACCTGGATGAGGGGAAACAGGGGAGATAACGTAAGACTGTGAGGGGGGGGAAAAAGCTGTGAGAGTGTAGAGAAATTTAATGAGCTAAAGTTGAGAAACTCTGACGATGACAGATTTGTGTCAAATGCTCTAAAAAATCAGCACCACTGTTGCAAAACTCTGCATTGCAGCAACAAAAGAAAAGTGGCTGCATCTCTTTAAAGTCACACAAGGGAGTGATTATAATTCCTAAATGAAAGACGGATGGCTGTTAATTCAACACCCCTGTCCTTGCATTTTGATTTTGATGCAATTTGTCAAATGGTCTTATAAATCACTCTGAGCCACAACAGTTACACCCGTTTATGGCTCCCCAGCTTTGGGCTAAAACTTATCTGAGCAGTATTTTTCATTAGGTAATTTTGTCTGATCTTTGAAAAAGAATGAATTAAAAATATATATAACTGAAATGACTATTTATGGAACATATGTCATGTCAAATAAAACATGCTACAACACTATACAGCTCATTTTACATGTTTAAAATGAGTTGGCGAGTAACATAAAATGCCCGGCAGAGTGGATGGAGCTCATATCAGGTTGACCTCACGTATTCGGGGCAGAGAATGAACTGAATCCTGGGTCTTGGAAAGAAGTTAAGGATTCTTTTCTCTCTCTTTGTAGTCCTACTAGCAGCCATTTAGCTGTACCCTAAACCCTTCACCATCAGTCAATGTGTCAGTTAGAGGGGAGATTGAGGAGGTTGATTGACATGCTCTTGGCAACAATGTGTGGTAATTTCCTTTGTGTTTGTGTGTGCGTGTGTGTGGGTGTGTGAGGATGCTTGAAAGAGAAAGAATGCTGATGATCATCATAGAGCGTCTGTCTCCGTTCTTCTCTCCGTGGACGGGATGTTCACAGGGCAAACCAAAAACACATGAGGCCTCCTGTCCTCTGCCAACTGGTAATGTACCCACACGCACGTGCACGTGCACGTACACACAGAGCACTAGACGCACATGATTTCTGCTACAGCTCCAAGTGTATTGCACTGTTCTCTGTCCTCTTTCTCTCTTTCATGTTTAAAGTGTTGCTGGACTAGATTAGGCCTTTGCTGGTTTCTGTGAGGTACTCGGCACTCTGTGTTATGACTATGACATCACACCCCTACCCCATGGTGAGTTATATACCTACATGGGGGACAGCTAGACTCCAGAGGTTTACCACACAGCTCAACAGAGGTTGAAAGTCCACTCTAGGCAAAGCCACATCCAAGCCAACAAAGCGTTTTATGTACCGTCCCTCATCAGGGGATTTTATGGGAAAACACAGACTATTATTGTGGGGGAGGATGGCAGAGCAAGACCAGGGAATGTGAGGAATTGAATGGGTGGTGAACGCCACAGTTGAATGAGGTTAGTTAATCTGATTGGGGATTGACAGATCGTCAAATCATCACACTGGATTTCTGGTGAAACCACAGGCAAAAACATCATTTTTTTTCATCCCAGTTTCCTGTGAACAAACTGGTTTACCATAAAACTTGACACATCCCGTTGTGAAGATTTGACACCTAAGGCCGAAAAGTTACTCTGATTAACCGGATGTGAAGTAACCCATGTAAAGAACTTAACCAAAAGCACAAATTATGCTCATGGCTGGTTCACTGGAGAAAAATGTTTGTGATGTCTGGAAAACTTGTTTTGAACAATGTCAGGCAACCAAAAGATGATGCAAGAATGGCAATGACCAAGTCAGTAACATGATACTTTTCACCCTGTTTTAAAGTGTTCATGTTTGGTTAGAAACACAGTATACCCATGTGTGAAATTATTTTAGTGCAAACATAAGAGACAATGTAATCTACATAACCTCAAAATGTAGGATCACATTGTTCAAATGCTGGCTAAACCTGTAAAATATAGAAACTAAATGTGACAAGATTCAAATAGAAACTTTATGCCCAAACCCATAACTGTCCACAAAGGACAAAATGCGGTTCTCAAAATTTTTCAAAATAACAAAATAAATATAATTGAAAATTGGAGTTTTCTGTCATGTGAATGTCTCACTAATTGTGACAATTATTTTTGTTTTGACAAATACATGCTGAACACAAGGTTTTTGAGGTCCCTGCAGTCCCCTCAGAATCCCACTGTCACTGAATACAACTGGGCCAATAGATCTATCTTAAATTCTGTTTAGGAAAAATTTGCATTGAGAAAACGTTTCCCAAATCATTCTATACCTCATTTGGATGTCCACTACCAGGGAAAAAGTTGCCATCATCATAACGATGTAGGGAGATGTAAAGAACGCCTGGGTCATCATAGAAAGCCTCTTGGGTCCCGTTGCCATGATGCACATCCTAAATATGATTTGGATAACAGGTTGGAATGTTAAGACAGCATTTAAGTGTTGACTGATTCATGTATTTATTTGGAAAATCTAAATTAGCATCAATAAAGAAAAAAAAACTTAATGGGAATAATGCTGTATGGATTAGTTTGTTACTTTAACAAAACATTACACGTATGAAAAACTGAAAGCGGACTTCTCTTTTAACAAAAAGGGGATCATCAGCATTTGATGCAGTATTATGAAGAAGAGCATGTAGTGTGTAAAGTCATTCTGCAGAATCATATAAACACACATGTTGAGCAGAGACAACCAACTGGCTTTGGATCAATTCCACACATGTATGCGTGGGTGAGTTTTTTTTTTATCACAGTGTGTTATTTTGAGTCTGCACTAAGCATATGTGGCAGCTCAGCTCACACATGGACAGCAGAAATAGCCGTCTTAATGATCTAGATGACGATCCGGAGAGCTACTGTAAATCTGGGACCTTCTTTCTGATACATTTGTGTCCCAGTATATTAGCATTTTATTCATATAGTAGCCAGTGATAGTGGTCTTGCTTTGGGTCCTCACCCAGTCTACGATGAGGATCTTGCTGATGTTGAGCTTCTGCTGGAGCTGCTTGGCGGCAATAGCAACAGAGTTGAAGAAACAGAAGCCCCTGTGGACAAACAGACAGGAAGAATGACAGTCACATGTGTTTATCAGAACAGTCCTAGTGAATTAAAATCACAAAAATACCATGCGGACCTTAAAACCTCTAAAATATTGTGTCCTTAAACAGTTGACTCCTCAAGAGCTTCATGCTGAAACTTTTGAGACCGTGATTGTCACAGTGTTCACTCCTGCCACGTTACAAATGACTGTATTTAAGACACAATTGTATTTTTAGTTGTGTTGTTTTTGTTTTTCTAAACTCACACAAAAAAAGACTTATCTTATTAGAATACTATGGTGAGTTAAAAACCCTGCATTCTTGAGAACTGAGTGACACACAAATTCTGTGACAAACAGACCAAGCTTATAATAAAATTCAATCTACATTCCAAATGATAACACAGTCAGAGTAACTGGCAGGATGCAGGCGTTTATTTCTGAGAAATGATCTCTCAACATGGTGCGACAGTCCCCACAATACCAAAGTGTGCACAAAAAGTGTTGATGTATGAAAAACAATGGAGGAATGTTGGAAAAGGCAGTGTCAGCGTGGCCCATAAAATGTGTGTGTGTAAGTAAACGATATAGATTATATGCTGTCCAAACTTTGCTCATAATGAAAAGTCATTATCATCCCATAAATAACCGGTGACAAGTTCTGCTGAGCTCACACACACGGTCCCAGCTGAATGTGGTTACTTGGCTAATGCCTCCTATCAAAGTCTGACACAAATCAATGCACGCAAATATGCACGTTCACACAAAGACACACGTGTGCAAAATACACACGTGTGCAGGCCCACATGCGTTAGTCTTTTGTGGAGCTTTGCTTTGTGTCCTGAAAACTTAAAAGAAACAGTAGAGGAGGTAGTTTGCCCCAGGCATCAGGCAGGTAGTACACAACTCAGACACACACGCATACACATTAACACATAACAGTCTCAGGCATTCTCTCCATCCTCTTTAGAAGTGTGGCTGATTTGTAATAAACGCTTTGAAACACTTTGCAGGTCCCCTGGCTCCTGGTACATATATATATATATATATATATATATATATATATATATATATATATATATATAT